TTTTTCTTACTTAAAAAAGTTTTTACAAGGAAATACCAAATTTAATAAACAAATCGTTATTAATAAATTGCTGTGGTTTTCCCAAAAAACGCAAGCTTATAACCCTATAAAATGCGTTTTTATTTGATATAATACCAATATATGATCTCCACAGGGTCAAGGGTTTTATGCCAGATCTATTTGTAAATTTTTATTATTTATTTATTTTTTGATTGTGTAGCTAAAATATAACAAGCCAAATACATATTTTAAAAATGTTGTGAATCGATAAATCAAAGCTTACAAAATGAATTAATTTTGATAAATTATGTAAGCTTGCTTAATTCACAGCAAACACAAATAAATCAAACAAAGCTGCAGTTGAACAATACAAAGTTCCAAAAAAAATGTATGTATATTTTTATATATATACAAATTTATTGTGCATTCAAAAGTTAAAGAAAATTAAAATAAAACAATACAAAAAATGTTGCCAAAAACAATAACCAAAATATACTTAACAAAGCTGGCAACAATATTGCTATTAACAATTTACAACAACTGGCCAATTAATTAAATCAAGATAGTACCAAAAGCGAAAAAAAAACAACTGAACACTGTACACAACAACAACAACAACAAGCTTCAAATGCAAAACTTGGAAGACAACAGCATCCAAGGGGAAAAAACACACATAGAGAAGAAGATGAGTAAAAGGTGTTGAGAGGCGGCGATGAAGTAACTTGGACAGTCCAAATTTTTGTCTTACCTATATATACATATTTCTTTACAAGGCCAACCGGCCAGGCAGTTGGACTGGATTGTATTTATATTTTGTTTTCGGTTGTTTTTTTTTTGCCAACTTCAACTCTTTTTTGGGGCCTGTCTCGGAATCGGAATCGGAATCGGAGTCTGTGTGCAACTAGAGACTTGTCCGCTTAGTTTACTTTGAATTTGATTTACTTTCATGGAGCCGCAGCTTTTATATAAGTAACAGTGTCATCTGGCACCAAGTAATTTGCCATGCCATTAAAAAAATATATATATATATTTATATAAATACAAATTCGTAAAACCGTATAATTGTGCAGTTCAACACTTTTACTTTCCCGCCTGCCCCCACTCCGGAGAGGAAATCAAAAGAAACACATAAAAAACATGCATAAGAAACAAAAACGAGGAAACTGGTTTAAAAATCTACGGGGCCAATTGATACAGCGGCCGCAGCTCGTGTCGCACTTGGTGATTTTTGTGGTTATTTAAGCAAAAAAAAAAAAAGAAAAACAAATCAAAAACAGAGAAAAAAATCGGAAAAAATTGCTTTGAATAGACGCAAAAAGCATAGGCCAAAGAAATGAAATGAAAAGGAAAGAAACACAAGGCAACGAATTGTGGAACCTGCACAACATAAAAATCAATTTATAGGTCAAGTTGAGCGCAGTCCACACACACAGCTAGACGTTTGTGTGTGTGTGTGTGTGCAACTGGCTTTTGAAGCCAAAATTCAGGTTCAGCTTGGGACTTTTACTTCAGCGGCATCTTGTCTAATAAGACAAATTATGCAACAACGAATGGACCAATACACACACATAGACACACACACACACATGCTTGAAATAATGCTTGCAATGTGCTGCCCATTTGAGTCTCGATTTAGTGTAATAAGAAAAATAAAAGAGAAAAATTATAAACATTCAACTGCTGCTGCTGCTGATGTTGCAGTTGCTGCAATTGTGGGTCAAGTTGAAAATGCAACGCGATCTGCACAACATTCACATTCACAATCGCTAGCGACTTGCGCGCGTTTTAAAACGCGCCTCAACATTATTTCATCATCAGCATCAAAAAAAAAAACCGCTTTACTGCACAAGCTGGAATAAATACACCCAAATAGAAAACAAGCAAAAACTAATATATATATATATATATATATATATATACCTGCATGGTGTATATATCTTGTTTGTTTACTCGCTAAAGAAGACTTTGAGACCGTTTGAGCGGGCGCTCGCGCGACTTTTAGAGCAACTAAATCGCGTTAATTTGGCAATCAAGCAGTCGGTCGAATGGTCTTGGACGCCGTTGCTTTGGCCTAAAATGCAGTAATTGCTGTAAGAGGCCCCCGCTACAAGTGGTTCTTGTTGTTTATGTTGCTGGTGTTGTTGTTGCTGTCGGTTTTTGTATTGCATGCTTGCTGCAACTTGTTAACTTAGTGTAATACAGGTAAGTAAATAATCAAGTGCACGGCTGAAAATACTTGAACTATGCGTAAGGCACTTCAGTTAGTTCATTAAACCATCTTTTTGGGCTGTTCAGATTGACAAATTTGCATAGGATTTGCATGAGAGTTAAGCATTCACTCTATTCATCAACTGGTTTCATACAATACAATACTGGGAATATACATATGTTATAATGACATGCTTTTATCTTTAATTTATATTTATTTGAAGCCAAAAGAGTGTTCAGTGCTTTCAAATGAGAAGCATCTCGAGTGCATTATTCTCGAGCAGTAAATTAATGGCCTTTCAGCCGTCTTAAGGTCACATTTTATTACAATACATACGAAACATAAGCTTTATATGTATAATAATTAATTATAAAGCGTTAATCCATCACGGCAACTGCCTAAAAGTTTGTTACTTTTCTTTAAACGACTTTTAAACACTTTTATCGTAACATACATAACAAATGTCTTTACACTCTCTAAGCTGAAACGAGCAATAATTGAATTATCATAGCACAACACTTACTTCGGCGACAGCCCGATAAGAAATCCATGTCAGCGTCACACTCATAGTGCACACCTTTTATTTCTCTGCCTCTCTTGAGTGTGACAAAAACAAAAACGAAAGAAAAAACTTAACTTTTAATAAGTTTTTAGCACTTGGTCGCGAGTCTACATCAATACAAACGAGCAACGAAATAGAGTTAACTGTTTGGACACACACACTGAGAGTATATACATAAAATAAATATATATTAAAAATGTATACAGAGATAACCAATGTGCTGAAGGCACGCACAAATTCAATGTTAGACTATAAACCTTTGGCCAAATTGCACTATTATTGCAAAACGCGGCGACTGCAGCTCCTCGACACGTGTGTGTATGTGTGTGCATACGGCTGCAGCGCGGATACTTGACAATAACGCGCATACGACGCGTTGTTCGACCAGAGCGAACAGAAGCAAAACCGATCGAGTCACATGCGACCAACAACAACAACAAGAACAACGTAAACTTATCTCTCAAACTCACTCACACACACACGCACGGACTTCCGCTCTCGCTCTCAATAGCTGCACAGCTGAGCGCTGAGCGTGGAGCGACGCTGACGTCGCTGTCGGCGTCAACGTAAATGCGTCTAAACTGTCTCTCGAATGTGGCAGCGCGGCAAACTGGTGCTTACAGCAATTGCAAGCAAATCGCTTGATTAAAAACTATTTTTATTTTATTTATTTTTTTCAGTTTTGATTTTCTTTATTATATTTGCTGGCCTAGTAAAAGGCACAAGCCAAATATGCCCGCCTATATAAAGCTTCGTCAGCGTCTTTAAAATCTGTTTTCAGTGTCAAAAGCGCAATGCAAAATTATCAAAATAAAACCAAAAAAAAATACCACAAGAGAAAGAAAAAAACTGGAGCTGTAATAATTATTGCGCAATCATACAAAAAAATACCAAAGAAAAAAATGTATTCAAATATTTTTTTATTATTTTTTTTTTTTAAATGGTGCAATGGGCGCTGGGATCATTAGCTTGCGATTGGTTAACCGAAAGCATATTTTTTATCTTTCTTTCATTTTTTATTTTTTGTCGAATTTGCAGTGAAGCAGCTGAATGAATATGAATATCACTGGGATTTCTACATAGCAGCCGCAGCATCATCCGATGATGAGTAAAAAATTAAAAAATAAATAAAAAAAACATGGCGAATAAGCAAAGCAAAACGTACGACAAAAACAATGCAGCAGCAAATGACAACAACAATATCGTTCACTGAGGCAATCTCTTATTGGTGCTATGGCTGCTGCAATCGACGGATGCGAATGCTGACCATGAAATCTTATCCATTCCACTTGCCAGCAGTGCCACGCCAATCAAGCCCAAGACTCTTAAGTGCGTATGTAGCAACCTATGCAGTTAGCCATTTATCCAGTTATCCAACTAAGATTCAAGGTCAATGCGGTAGCATTGCATTTCCGTGTGAATTGCTGTCAAGCGAGCAGCAGTCCATGCCCTTCACTTGACCAACCAGCAGATGCAACACAAATAAGCAAAAGTGCTCAAAGTGCAATTTGTACAAATTTCAATATTCGCTCTATGCATTTGTGTGTGAGTGTGTGTGTGTAAAAGTACAAGTGCGAAAGACTTTAGCAAAACAGAACTAGAAAATAACTGCAAATCAGACACTAAAAAGCAAACAAGAATTATTCAAAGTCGCGTAGAAAGCTTGAAGAGAAAAATACAAAAAAATAAAAATAAAATATGAAAAAAAATATACATAAAATTTATAAGAAAAAAGCAAGAAACATCAAAAGTTCTGTGCGCTGCAAATTGTTGAGAAAAGACATTGAAAACTTTTGGAAAATTTGTACTTGATGAATATGAACTGTAGATTTCGACTCGTATTTGCATTTCTGCAGAAACGGAACACTCGCCAGATGAGAGAAACAAAGAACTTGACACTGAAGGGGAAAAACCGTGAGACGATCGTGTAAAACAAATTTCATAGTTAGAAGGTTAAGCAACGACTAATCGCCCTTAACTAACATATTAACGTTTAATGACTAAGTTCAAGTGTTTGCTTATCCTCCTCTGAGGAATTACACAATATATCATGAGATATTACGACTTAAAAATAGAGATAGGTGTAACTGCAATTTGGATCGTGTAATTTGCCTAAATGCATATTCAAAGGTTCACAGTTCATCGTGGGCAGGTGAGAGACAATTAACTGATCCTAATTAGATTACAAATTGACAATTGCCACTTAAATGTTTGTTATTTAGCACTTACCATTTTTTATGCAATTATTCTTTCCAGTTGAAGTCAGTTGAATGAATTTTCCAATATTTTGAGTCGATTTTTTATCACTGGCAATTATTGTATGCAAAATACTTCACTTTGAATGAATTTATTAAGGCACTTTAATTATCCTTAGGCTTTCATTGGCATTTGAATACTTAGTGTATTTAAGACAGTTATGAAATTGGTTTAACACGCGCACAAGTCACACAATTCCTATATCTATTCAATTAATATGCTCGATACTCAATTGAATTTTTTCGAATATATGTGTTTACTTTAACTAAATCACAGTCACATCAAACTATCGTTTTGCCAACTCCGCTGCTGATGGCCAACTGATTTGACCAGCTGCTAACTGATGGCTGCTTCTTTTTAATAATATCTGGTCTCTAGTCTCTAACTGGACTCGACCGGGGCCTGGGTGAGCGCACGTATTACCATTCAAATCAAAAACACTGAAATAACTTTGATTTCTCGCTGCCGCTTTACTTTTATACGAAGCGACGCGACGGCAGCTACGCCAACGTCGACGCTGGCGTCTTTGTATTTTTTTTCGGTGAGCGCATACGAAGCTTTTTGATAAATTCTGAGCGCAGCTTCAGTTCAACAACAACAGGTTGTCAGCAGCTGTCAGCGATTTATGCATGTGTGTGTGTATGTGTGAGAGCGTCAGAGCTGCGCTCTCTTTTTTCGCTGCTTACGTTCGAGTTTTTTGGCAAAGGATGTTGCTGCCGAGTTACCGAAAAGCCGAAGAGCCGAAGAGCCGAGTGGCCGAGTGTCCGAAGTGTCGAACAGCCGAGCGCAGTCGCATTCGACTTTGCACTTAAGCTGTGTTTCGGCGGCATTGCTTTCTCTCTTTCGCTCTTTGTTGCTCTTTGCTTTGTGCCTTTGCACCCACACAAAAGGGCAGTGCTAATTATTAAGCTCTTATCAAGTCGTTTTTTTTGCTCAGCTGCGGTAAGCGATGAGCGCAGAGTGCAAAGTTCTTGTGAAAGCCCATAAGAGGCCATAATTTAACCCTTGTATTTTCCGTAATCTTTTGACAGAGTAAATGCATACGAATGCAAATATTTACTTTTTTTTTTTTTTTTTTTTTTTTTTTTTTTCGTTTTTATTTCTTTATTTTGTTGCAGCTTATTGTCTTAGACTCTATAGCGCATTTAGCTCTAAACCTTAACTAATGGGAGGGCAGATATGCCAATTATTCTGCACTTGTAGCTACTATCTTAATTAGTTCTAATATTGTCTAGAGGATGCAATCTCTTCAGTCTTCGCCTATTGTTGTTTATAGCCAGGTTGCTTGCGAGATGGTTAGGATGCGCTGCAAGTCTGTCCGCGTATCTTGAACTGTGTCGCCCAATGAGTTCAGCAACTGTGGGAATTGCTAAATCCCTATGTAAGACTGAGTTTCTTACAAACCAGCTGGCTCCAGTCCATCTGCGTAGTGCTTTATTCTGCAGGGTCTGAATTTTGTTCCTTGTAGTCTTCGCCGAGGAGCCCCATAGAGAGATACCATATACGAAGGTTGGGACAACTATTGCCTTGTAGATGGCGGCCTTGCTGCTGTAAGACAACTTGCTTGAAGCTCTCAGCATCCAGTCGAGGGTTTTTAGCTTGCTTTTGCATTTTGAGGTTACTTGACTTATGTGCGCTTTAAAAGTCAGCCTTCTGTCAAGAGTGATACCAAGGTACTTTACTTTTGAGGCTTTGGGAATAGTGGGCCCCAATGCAACGCTTGGGCAATCTCCTCTTCTAGTGGCGAAGGTAGTATGTACAGACTTTTGTGCATTAATGGTGATACACCACCGTTTTGCCCAGCGTCCGAAAGAGTCCAGATATTTTTGTAGTGAGTCTGAAGCTTCTTGCGCAGATACGTGACGTGATAAGATGGCGGTGTCATCTGCATAGGTCGCTATGAGTACTGCATCTGTACTTCCTATATTTGGCTCGGGAGTTGGCATATCTCCTGTGAATAAAGTATAAAGTGTTGGGCCTAGAACACTACCCTGTGGTACTCCAGCCATAATTGGTCTAGTCAAGGATACTGTTTGCCCCCTTGACACTTGGAAGGTTCTTCCAATAAGGTATGAGGATAGCAACGCGAAAAATGGGGCTGGAAGGGTGGTCCTCACTTTCTGCAGCAGTCCCAGGTGCCAAACTCGATCAAACGCCTGTTTGATGTCTAAAAAGACGGCAGAGCAGTACATCTTTTCTTCAAAGGCTCCAAGGATATGGTGCACAACTCTGTGAACCTGTTCCGGTGTTCCATGCTGTCTCCTGAAGCCAAACTGATGGTTTGGAATGGCCTCCTGGCGTCCCAGATGTGTCAGTACTCGTTCCAGAAATATTCTTTCGAATATTTTGGAGAGTACTGGCAACAGGCTAATTGGTCTGTACGACTCAATTTCTCCCACGGGTTTGCCAGGCTTAGGAATCATCACAATCACGGCGCGCTTCCAGCAGGCTGGAAAGTGCCGGATGCGGAGCATGGCGTTGTACACCATAGTTATGTAGTCTATGGTGGAGTCAGGCAGTGCTCTAAGGACTCTGCCGTTTATTAGATCATATCCAGGGGATTTTTTTGCCTTCACTCTTCTGATGTGTTCAAGAACCTCTTCTTTTGTACATCCAGTTATCTGGTCTTCAGCTGGGAGGGGCGAGAGAACGATGTCTTCTGTTGCTTCGATTTCTGAGGCCTCTGCGGTAATCACCGGCGTGAATTGGTCTTGAAGGTGGTTTGCAAAAGCCTCAGCTTGAGCTTCGTCTCCAATGTGCCAGGAACCAGAAATGCTCCGAATGGGATGACGTCGTATTGGCTGCCGTTTGAGCTTTCTTGTAAATTTCCATAATTGAAACTCTGCGTCAGTGGGCGATTCAGCTCGTACCAGCGCATCGCTGATACACCTCTTTTGAAGCAGGGCGAGAGCAGCTTTAAGATGCCTCGTGGCTTCGTTGTACATGGATTTGGCATCAGGCGTGCGTAATCTTAACCAGCGTCTCCTGGCCCATCTTTTGTGTATTAGTAGGTGTTGGGCCTCCAAGGTGAGGGGGATGTTGTACGGAGACTGTTGTCTTGTTTGGCAAGATGGTGGGGCGGCTTGGTGCGCAGCTTTGACTATTTCTTCCTGCAGTTTGTTTGCTGCGTAGTCCACGTCTTCAGGAGTGTTAAGTTCCATTTCTATGTGCAAAGAGTAATGGAGCTCGCGCCTAAAGACTCCTAAATCTGATCCTGCTGGCAGTAGTTGTTTCCTAATGGGCAAGGGCTGTGGCTGCGCGTGGATTGTGACTATTAGTGGCAGGTGGTCAGAGGATAGGTCCAAGGATTCTTCAATGGTCAATTGCCGGTCACAGATGCCTTTGTAGACAGCGAAGTCGATTGCCGAGGGCCTGTGTCCATTAATTGGGTAACGGGTGGGGGCTCCAGTCGCCAATATGCTGAATTGTAAGTTTTGAATCGCCTCAAATATGACTTCTCCGCGACGATTCGCACTATTGCTTCCCCAAAATGGGTGCCATCCATTCCAGTCGCCGCCGATGAGGGTCTTATTCAACCTTTGGCCTAGAACCTGTTCCATGTGATGATCACACAGACCAGTGTTTGGCGGAAGATAAATTGACGCAACTTCGATCGCTCCAATAGACGTAGGCAGGGTGATGGCTGAGACCTGCATTGTTGCGTTGCAAATTGGCAGTAAAGGTGTATGCGGTATTGTTGCTCGTATGAGGATTGAGGATCCACCAAAGCAGTTTGCTCCTTCACCATGAGCCTGATAGTGTTCGTATCCGAAAATTTGTGTAGTGGGGCACTCATGAGTTTCTGTTATTAACATTATATCTATGTTTTCTTGTGAGAGAAACGCAGCCAGTTCCTGAGTCTTGTTTCTCAGGCCATTGGCGTTCCAGATACCCACACGTAAAGCCATTATTTGTAGGCAAGCTTGGTTATGATGGCCATTAAACTGTTTAGCATGGTTGCTTGTTGGGATTGTACTTCTCGCATCGCTTTGAGCTCGGCATTAATTGCGTCAAACTGACGTTGTTGTTGCTGAAGCATTTCAGTGAACAAAGTGTCACTTGTGGTATTCTTATTTGACGGTCCACCTCTAGCGGCCTGTGCGTAAGAAACACCACTAATAGGCGTTGCAAAGCTCGTGGCTTGGGTAATGCTCCGGGGCCTTGTAATTTCGGAAGCAGTACTCGGACCCGTAGACGGTGTTTGTGTGGGACTCCTTTTTTGTGCTGGGGATTGCAATTTGCGCAACCGCTTGTATACTTGGCAGCCCTTATAGTTGGCTGGGTGCTGTAACTCACAGTGCACACAAGTTGGTGCCTGGTCCTTTTCGCGGGTGCAGTCTTTGGATGCGTGTTTCCCGGCGCAACGCACACATCTGGGAGCTTTGTGGCAGTAGCGTTGTGTGTGTCCAAATTCTTGACAGCGATGGCATTGTGTCAGGTCGTTGTATCTTCTTGGCAGTTCCACTGTGCAGCGTTGCCTGCAGACAACTCGAATGTCCAAAATTTCTTTGTTGTTGGGGGCCTGAGCCACGTCAACAAAAAATATATTTAGCGGTGTTTTGTCCATACGGCTCAGTGGGTTGTGCACATTTGTAATTGTGTGGCCTTTGGTTTCCAATTCCTTTTTAATTAGTGTTGTATCAGTGCTGGAGTGAAGCCCTTTGAACACGACTCTATATGGTTTGTCCTCCTTAAGCTGGTAGCAGTGGAACTCCAATTCCAGCTTAGTAAAGTGGTCTATAACTCTGCGATAGTCCTCACTGCATTGGGTTAATACACCTATGTTATTCTTCTTTGGCTTAATTACGTATGATTTAGCATCAATTACTTTATCTATTATCTGTTGAAGTAGGGCCACAGACTTGATGTTTGGACACCATATGGGGGGCGGACGAGGTTTCGGAGTAGTTTGCTGGTCGGTCAATACTGGGGCTTCTGGAGCTACAGGTGATTCGCTGTAGTCTTCATCTTCTTCTACGAGCAGTGAAAATCGATTTTCTGATATTAATGCTGCATTGCTGGTGCTTGGTTCGTCGAAGATGAGCCTTTTCTTGATGGTTTTTGGTGAATTTGGCTGTTTACGTTTCGTGTTTTTGTTGTTAGTGATGCCTTGCACGGAGGCGATATCTATTTTTGAGTTTATTGGCATGATGGAGGCTTGCCTATTTGCCATCACAACGTTAAGCTGGGCTTGCATTTCTGCATTTACCTTTACAGCTGTAGCGAGGTTATTGACATTAGATGTCATCGCGGATTGTGCTTTTGAGTGCAGGCGCACTCGCGCCAAGCGACGAAATTTCGTAAATTGCAATTAAAGCAATTGAGTTACGCGGAAGCAAGCGATAAGAAAACGCTGCGTGTGCGGTTTTTGTTGCTGTTGCGTTGAAGAATGCACCGCAAAGTTCTATTTTTAGAACTCTGCAGCAGTAGAGCTTAAGCGAAGGCTGTTCGAATTCACGTCTTTACAGGTCGAACGACTGATCGCGATTGCAAATATTTACTATTTCAATAGTGAAATATTTGTTAAAATAATAACAAAACTATGCGAGATTTTTGCATTCACAATTCATGAAAATCAATTTTGAGACAAAACTAGTTTTCAAGTTTTGCGTTCATTTAAAATTCCTGATAAAAACCCAATCCAAGACGTCGGCATGTGTTGGTGGCCGCATATTTTTATACCCTGATCCCATTAAAAATGGGAAATCAGGGTATAATGGTTTTGTGCAAATGTATGTAACAGGCAGAAGGAGGCGTGGCAGACCCCATAAAGTATATATATTCTTGATCAGGACGACAAGCCGAGTCGATTGAGCCCTGTCCGTCTGTCTGTCCGTCCGTCTGTCCGTCTGTCCGTCTGTCCGTCTGTCCGTCTGTCCGTATGTGTGAACGCGTGGATCTCAGCATCTATAAGAGCTAGAGACTTGAAATTTTTTTTGTAGGTCCGTGTATAGCACGCGCAGGTCAAGTTTGTTTCAAATATTCGATAACTATTCGCATTTAATTGTTATCGAATAAAAACATTATTGAAATGCAGTAAATAAATTATATCTCGAACGTCTTAAGAGCTAGAGCCTCCAAATTTTGTATTTAGTCTTATATATATTTTATGCAATTTTGATTTTTGTTGGATTTTGGATACCGGCTCCAAATTCCCCCAAATTCTTAGAATTTAAGTTTAGTTGGAAATAGGGCCATTATGTGAAGGCGTTTGCATCTCAACCAAGCCAATAGGATATGTAGATCATATGCTGCAAATTTCATTAAAATCCATTAAGTAAAACAGAAGTTATTAAACAAAACGTTTGGCCAATTTCCAAAAGCACATGTCAGCAGCGCCACGCGCACGCATTTTTCCTATGCGTGTGCACACATACATTCAAATGCGTGTATTCTTTTCTATTCCAAGAATTGAAATTGCGATTGAATTGTGCTGAATTATTAGCTGCTACTTATGTTCAAATTTGCAACAGCCCGTGCAAGAAGGACAGTGGCTGCGTTGGTAGTGGCCCCGCTCGTATGCAGCTTGGTCCGGGTTCGAGACCGGAGGAGATGAAATGTTTTTTACTGTTTTATTTTTTTTTTTTTTAGTTATGAAGTGGCGGTGTTGGTAGAGTTTGTGCACGTTGCGCAAATAATCCGGGTTCGAATCCTGGTCTCGCAATGTCGATTTTTATTTGTTTTCTCTTTTTTTTTAATACTCGATACAAACTACGGAAAATATTACAAAACTCAAAGGACTGGGATCAGGGTATCTCCTAGTCGGGCACCCCGACTAGAGCTTTCTTACTTGTTATTGTTTATTTTAATACATATATATATTTGACTAGCGTTGACCAAAGCGACGGAAACGCGCAGCTGAAAAAAAGAATGGATTTCGTTTTTTGGCGCCAGCATGTGGGCATGTGCGATGCTGTGACAGAATCAGAACAGCCAACCCACCTTCAATGGCCAACTGTGGCTTCCTCAATCATAAAACATTTGCTCCGACCGCGCCAAGCCCATTGTGACGTTCGAGATTCGAATGTCTGCAGTTTGTTTTGAAATTTTATGCCTTGCCTTGACATTGGCGATTCCTAATCAAATTGAATGAATGCCATACGAAACACTTAGCAGTACATTGTGCCCAATGTAGTCACCTGAACGAGTTGAACTTCTGCCTTCGCAGGTATGTCATTCCTCATATTATTGTCCAATCATCGTTAATATTACATAATGCCAGTTAATTAATGACTTATTGCGCCTTAAATTTTACAATACACAAAGTGCGATATTTAAATGCCTTTGGGTTTGATATCAATATTTGGCTTATATATAAACCTTTGCACTTTCATGTTTCAAACCTATAATTAATATTAATTTCTAAGCGTATAGCTTTAGGTAGATAATTGGAAATCATTATTAGTTACTAAAGTATAATTCCTTACACTCTTGAAGGCTTTACAACCATAATTTAGATAGAATTTTAGAAGAGAATTTACGCTAAATAGAAATTAGTTATTTAATCAATTAAAATCTTATTAAAGCTATTATTTGCCTAGGAATTTACTTGTAACATACAATTTGCCATTTAAGACTAATTCTCTTTATAGCTAGCCTGTCTACTGCTCACTAACTGATCAGTTTTCGCTTTGCGCTTTTTTTTAGGCTTCCGGTATGATGATTGTGTTACTGGGGCTAATGCTTTTTAAAGTTCGTCTGCTGATCACAATGCCTGGCTGTGCACCTAATTATGCAACCTTCAGGTGCTTGAGCAATGGTTGGAGCAAACATACATACTTACATGCTGGTCAAGTGGGGATCGAATGGTCATTTTTTTAGTTTTTTTTTTTTGATGATGATGCTTTGGTTGCTAAGGCTGTTGTCCATTTTTGGCAAGTTTTTTGTGGGAGTTGCTGAGGCTGAAGATAAATATTTTGTCGCTTTTTGTTTGTTTATTGTAAACACGTTACGAACATTGACCTTATTTAAACATAGACCAGCTATTAAATTAAAATATGAGAGTTCAAGGTCTCATTTGCTTTTGCGCGTTTTTCAAATGACCAAAATTGGCGCAACGCGTGCAAAGGTAGGAAACAAATAAATTAAATAGATTCTAGGGTAAGTCGCTAATGATTATCGAATAATCTAATCCAACCACAACAATTCAAAGTTGCAGTAACTGGCATTAGGTGGCCCCTTTGGCCCAGCATTGTGCAACTGCCAATGATTGATGCGTTGATTTGGCGCTGTAAGAGCTTCAATAGCTCTTCAAGCCTCAAATTCACAGACAAAGACGGCCGCAGTCGCTGCCTCTGCCGCAGCCGCTGACAGCAGCGAATGCAGCTACATTGCAGCAACGTATGGGCCCTGATGTTTGTTGTTGTTGCTGCACTTGCTGCAGCCATCATTGTTGTTATGTTTATTAAATAACGGTTAAGCCAAGCGCCATTTTCTAATTCTGCAAATCATTCTCACATTTGTGTGGCATTTGCGTGTTGGGCAATGCACACAAGAATAATACACTCAAAAAGCGAGAAAAACCAGTTTATATTTTGCCAAAATATTTAAAAATAATAAAAACCATTAAATTAACACGGTTAGTAGACTTTCCATGCAACACAACAACAGAAAACGTGATGCGTATCCATTTTTTTATTTTTCAGAAAACATTTGTCAACAGCCCAAACAAGTTCAAAGTAAATCAATCTGCAGCAGACGCAGCACCAGCAGTTAAAAGTGTGAATGTGCGTTTAAAGATGGATCATGATAATGATCATCAGTATGAATGAAGTTGATGACCACTGCGATGGGTTTAGTACACACATAAAACCAAACAGGGGTATTAGAAATTGCGTAAGCGATTTTAACATCGGCAATGTTGGAAATGATATCAAGGTCAGCTGGTTGACACAAAAACCTAATGAATCGGCTAACTAATATTAATTGGTCATTGTATTGATCTCAAGTTAGACAATTTCATCAATTAGCAAGAAATTTTTGGTGCACAAAAATTCCATGCGACAATGTTCAATAAATTTGCATGAGAATTTAGTAAATTTAATTTCCGTTTTTCTATTTTATACACACATTTACTGTATTGTATTTATCTTTTGTTGTATGCAAATAAAAAGTCAGCATAAACAAAAGCTAGGCTCATTAATAAGACAACGGTATTAAATGCATTTTATACAAATGCAAACCAATTTGAATAATTTATGCTGACCAGATGCAGATTGATTGATTTAAGTGGAAAATTTTTGTTGATTTTTAATTAATCCGTTTAGTAGTTATATCGATGATAAGTATAAAGAGAAATAGAAATATCGATATGGGAATAGTATTATTACTACGTTTAACTAAAGCATGTTGTTTAATAACAATATAGCTATCTTTAGAAATACCACGCTTCCATAAATATGTAATAATTTGAGAGCTACTGTTGGTGCAAGGTTAACATCTTAAGTATACCGTTTCTGTTATATAGTCATCTTAAAGCATTTACAAGTTTTTTGTTTAAAACTTGTATTTTCATTGAAAAAAACGTTACTTACAGTTGAAAAAAAATCGATAAATCAAAGAAAATAATCGCCCTGCTACTCATCGTGAGCATGTTATCACAAAATCGTAGACGCACGATAGTATCGATACAATATCAACAACTAATTGTACTCGGATTCTGGCTGTCTGAAGAAATAGACCCAAACAAGTTAAAATGTTGCAACAAAATATATTAGACCAACTTAAACAATTTATAGAAACAGTTAGCAATGGCAACAGTAATCCACAGCTACTAACAAAACCCTCACTAATCAAAGTTGCGTAAGTTTGCGTCGCATTTACAATAATTTGGCAGATCATTTTTACTCAATGCATTTTACGTACACAGGTTAAGTTTTCTCGATGAGCTGCCGGCCACCCGCGACATAGTGTTTGATTATTTTGGAATTCTGGCGGAGATTGGAGTTCAGCTGTATATATCTCCCGAAATGATAGATCAAAAAACGGGTCTGCCTATATCGCAAATGAAACAGGATGGCAATCCGCATCAACAAATGCGAGCAGAGGAATATGAAAGCTTTAATATGGTCAAGACATCGCTACAGAACTTAATATGGAAAGGGCCGCCGGCATGGTCGCCACTCATAGCCAACTGGAGCTTGGAGCTAGTGGCTAAGTTATCCGATAAGTACACAAAGAGACGCATGACCATTCCTGCATCATGCAACTATTGGCTGGAATGCAGTGCAATGCACGGCCTGCTCACGCTGATCAACAGTTGCTTTCGCAAGCTAAACAATGCAGAAGCGGAGACATGTGTGGAGACCATGCTAAATGCATTTCATCGTTATCCGATGACCTTTGACTGGATTGTGGCGCGACTGGGCGGTTGTTTTCCATACAAGATCATCATGCAAATACTGCAGTGCGGCATTAAACGTTTTGTGGAAGATTATCGCTGTCATTTGGACTCCGAAGCGGGTATCCTGGACTACATGACTTCGTGTCATGAGCAACAGCTGCGTGCAGCATTCTGTGAAATGCTCAAGGATGGCTTGGCGCCCAAGAAACCACTTGATGTGGCTATAGTACCATTTCTCCTAATAACCACAAACTATTCCGATGCTATTCTACAGAGCTTGGTCAATGTGTTTATAGATACATGTGAGTGTGCTTTATATGCAAAGATATCAGCAAACTAAAGTACTCAATTTTTTACAGATACCGAAGACATGTGCGAGGCAATTGTGCTGAAGGCGCCGCTATGGCTTAGCAATAAAATGTTTGCCGACATGCAGCCTTCTCTAAATAATGCTGTCCTACGTCTTAATCAACACGGCGCCAAGCTTCTCTTAATGGTTGCCAAATTGGCTGAAAAGTACGTTTGGTGTCAAGACTTTCTCGATACGTCCATGCAGGAATTGGAGCAATGGGTGCTTAACATGCGTAACTTTCCTTTACTCGGAGACTTAGCTTGCGAGAAAACTAAGTATATGCTGTGGAAAAGCTGCCTAAGTACAAATCTTTTGGAACAACAGACGGCAGTGCGATTACTGCTCGTTGTCTGTAAGTATGTGCATTGAATAAACATTAACACAAACTCAATATGATATTGCATTACAGCCTCACAGCATCCTCATATCTATTATCAAACCATATCACAATTGCTGCGGAAATCGTATGCTCAAAATCCGAATACAATTGGAGCTCTGATTCGCTTGCTGGGTGGCCAGAGCGGCGTTCTTAACTTTCCAAGCATAACGCAAGGCTTCAAAATGGTGCTGGAGGATATAACGCTGCAGGAGCAGGTTAACAATCGTTTACCTGTTGAACCGGGTACCCCATCTGAGGCATATAATACCTTTTACAACCTCAATCTACTGGCCAAGTAAGCAAACTAAATAGAAACCAATGAATGAATACGTTTTTAAAGTTATTTCTTTTCCAATAGAATGCACAAGAAGAATCAATTTTCACACATCAAGCCTCAGTTGTTGATGCAATCATTGAACGAATGCCTGCCAAAGATAATACAAATTCTCGACTGCACAATTCAAAAGCTGGTGTTACGGATGGATAAGCTTGCTGCTGAGCGCAGCGCTGAGAAATTTAAAAACCAACAGGCCAATAACAACAACAACAGTCACGAAACCCAACACGATATGTATAATGGAAATGGCCCCAATAAGCGAACTAAACTGGAACCAGGTGAATTGGCCACGACGGAAGAAACACCTGAAGCAGCACGCATGCGTTTGGCGCATCTAATTGTCGATCTGCTAAACAATATGGAAGCAGGAGCACGCAGCAATGTGCTGCGAACACCGCTGGTGCTCAAACTGGCCGTGTTAAGCGTAAAGTACTTCTTTGTGGGTCTCACCGAAGAAAGTAAGCCATTAGCTAAGTTTTCAATTGACTAAACATGTAATGAATTATTTATGCCCTTAGCTATAATTCGTCGCGCGGCAGCCGCTCATCGAGCGTTTGCTTTGCTGCAGCGTCAATGCACTGCACGAAAAATTGCACGCACTGTTTGTCTGCGGGAGCTGGTGGAAAGTGCACTCTTCTACCATGGCCATTTACTTGGCCAACTAGAGGAGTACGAGCTGGATGAGTTACAAATTCCTGAGCAAGAGTTGCTTATAGTACAAAATTTGCACACCAGCTCTGGAACGAACTCAAATCGTTCTGTACTGCACTCAGGTGTTATTGGCCGAGGACTGCGACCTGTGCTGCCCACAAATAACAGAAGCTGCGATGCGGAAAAGCAAGCACTCTATCTAAAGGCTCTGAATGCATGCTGCTTGGATCTGGTAAATCATAACTATTCACTGTCAACTAAAACTAAAACTATCTTCATTTCATTTTGGCAGGAAAAGCCCAACAACGTTGAGGGATATTCGCTGGTGTCGCTAACGCTTGTTGAATTGGTCTCAACGGATGTTATGTACAATGGACTGCCCTTTCCTGATGAGGAGTTCTCTCGGGTCACAATGGAACGAGATATGCAAATACGTCGTGCCTTTATAACATCGCCTGTACTTTGGGCTGTTCTTGGCTTAATCGCAACCCATAGGCCCGCATTGTGCTACTCCTCGGTGCTGCTACGTGCACTGTGCGCAACATGTTTGCATCATTGGCGCGGCAAGAATGGTGAGTAATACACCAGTAATACACTAAAAATTTGTTTCATTTCATATGCGTTTATTTTCCCTTTAACAGTCAACAAATTCCAACCCACATCCGCCAACGATGAGCTCATGCTGTGCACTAAAAAGCTGCTACAGTTGCTGACAATAAGCCAGCTTATACCGCCACCGCTATCCAACCTGCATACGATCATTGAGCACTTCGATGCTCCGGAGGTAAGCTTTCAATTTTACATATAAATACATAAGTCTCTCATCCATTTTGCCACTCTACAGATTGCTGTGCTGCTGCGTGAGTGCATTTGGAATTATTTAAAGGATCATGTGCCCTCGCCTGCGCTCTTTCACGTAGACAACAATGGTCTGCACTGGCGAAACACAAGCCAGGTGAAGGTGCCACCGCAATATGTTGACACATTACGCCACCTAATGCAAAGGAAGCTTAGCAAACTCGGAGCGCACTATCATCAAATGTTCATAATGAGCGATTTGCACATAAGCTCAGTCGCTCCAGCAATAGCAGAGCCAACAGCGTTCGCACCCAAAACCAGCATTGAAGTCGTAGAATTGGAGTAATATAATTAGTTAGCTAACTGTTAAGTTTAAAGTTTGCAATGCCAAGTAAGGATCTACAAAATTTGTCAATAAACAAATATTCCATAAATTAGATCGAATTACCACTTTCGAATTGCGAGCATTTAGAAAGTTTAATCAGAACACTTCCACTGTAATACACGACACAATGAACTAGGCTAGAATGCTTGCTGTATCTATTTCGCAAATCCAAATAGAAAGGAAGTTTGTGTGAACTAAATGCAGTTTTTATATATATTTAAATAATCTTCAATAGTTTTCAAATTTTAATTACACTTATAAATTTTCCATTGCAAATACTGTCCAGCAGTTTGTTTGTAGTCGGCGCCTGTAAATTATGTTGATTTAGAAGATATTAAAAACCAACCAGAGTGCCATTTGAACAATTTACTTATTTGCGTATTGCTGATGCGCGTTTTACTTTTAACGAATCTTTGCTAATTGCAATTATTCAACGTGTTTGTTCTTTACATTTAATACATATCAACGACCTAAATAACTGTCTCACTTTCATATAATACACGGTATTGTCACTTGGATTTAACTTGCATTCTCCTCAACCCGCTTTCTAAGCTAACTCAAAGTTTTAACCCTTGGTGTATGCGTCCATTATTCTCCTTCTCTCTCTCTTTTTCTTTCTCTATAACTCATTCTCTGTTTAAATCTTAATAAATACTTGGCGAATGTAAGACAACAAAAACAAAAACAAAAAACCAAAAAGTTGCTCACAATTTGTTAACAAGTTATTACTTTTCCATATTACTCTAGTAACTAGGGTAAGGGCAAGCGCCTACGATGTGCGACAATGGCTTAGTTTTCGCACAGAGATGCAGGATGCAAGTTTCTTGGCTCGACGCTTTAAGCCAGAGCCCTTTTTCTTAATCGCTACCGTCTCATCCCTGGAACCGTTGAGCATGGCCTCAGCTCCAGCTTCAGCACTAGTCGACGGCTCGTACAAATGACATGCGGCATTGGCAGCAGCCGACTTGGTTGCACGTATCTCAGCTGCGGCAGAAGCAGCTCGCCGCGCCAGTTCCTCTGCGAAAGAAAAAAAGTTAAATTAACAATTTTCATTCACATTGTATCATTATCTTTAACATACGATTGACATCATGCTCAGTAAAATATACATCTTCCTGATCCTGTTCGTTGCCATAATGATAAGCTTCTAGATAAGGCAGTACTGTGGAACGTCCGTATTTGTCGCCCTTAAGTGGAGGAATGGGTATCGGTGGGCCAGTCTCAGCTGGTGCGGACAGGAACCAACTGCGCAAGGATACCATACAATTAAATATCTAACAAATCGATTCATTGGCACTATACAAAACTTACGCATCTTTGCGTATCTGTTGCAACGAAAGCCGCGCACTGGGATCTGCTTGAAGCATGCCCAATATTAATTTCGCCAAGCTTTCATCCAACTCATACAGCCAGTCGGGTGCTATCCACTGACTTCGTCCAATGTTCTCCAACAAACGGTATATGTTGTCGCCCTCAAATGGATATAGACCCGTTACCAGATTATAACTAAAAATTGAATAATGATTATAATTGTATGTATAATCTAGAGCCAATTGCTTACAGAGTAACGCCGCTGCTCCATATGTCCACCTTGAAGCCTGCAAAAGTCTCGTGACCATTGGCAATTTCTGGCGGTTGAAATGCCGGCGAGCCCTGACCCGTTGTGCAGGTGTCGTCGGGTGCAAACATGTCTAGTTGCTCGGCGACGCCAAAATCAGATACCTTGAGCGTTTGGTCCAGCGTCAACAGCAGATTGCCCGGCTTGATGTCCTTGTGTATGACTCGGCAGCTGTGCAAATACTCAAGTCCATTGACCAATTGCCTAAAGTATCCATGCGCCTGATAGAGCGGCATCTTCTTTTCGGGCGCATGATCCAGCATCTCTTGCAAGCCTCCAATGCAATACTCCATGACCAAATACATCTTTTGTTTCTCTTCATTGTACATTACATCGACCAATTGCACCACATTCTGGTGTTTCAATTGCTTCAACAAATGAATTTCCCGCGTCACATTCTGCTCGCCATTGGGAATGCGACGCAATTTCCGCTTGGTGAGTATTTTAACAGCGAGCCGAGAAAGGTTTTCTGAATTCATGGCCTCTTTCACTTTACCGTATGAGCCTTCGCCTAGTACATCGCCCATCACGTATTTTCCCACCATTTTGATGTTCTTCTTTTTCTGTTGATAGATTATGTCCTGACTGTCGACGCGATTGAAGAACATATTGCCAATGTCGAGTGTGACACGGTCCAATGCATCAATTGCATCATCGTCCAGCCAGGTGACTTGCGGATGCTCTATCTGATGATTGCCGCTAGCCAGTGGCGCGGCAGCAGCATCAAGTTCTGCATCTTTGCCGCCATTGAGCTCGACGAAAGCATCTTCGATATCGGACGTTGCTTCAAAGTGATAATTTTTATTAGTCAGCAATACGGTCATATCATCATCAGCAGCGCCAGATAAATCGACATCCCTTCCAGCCACATCGAGCGATTTAGTGGAGCCATGCTGCTGTTCACCGCCCCCGCCAGATTGTAGATGTGTTGCTTTAGCTTGTGCTTCCATTACATGTGTGCTGGTCACAGTCACAGTCATTTGGATGCGATGCGCTCAACAGCTCAACACACTATTTGTGTACACCTATTATATGAACGTATAAACGGCGCTCTATTGCTCCGCTGTCGTTGCCGTCTCTTCGCTCTCCTGTGTGTGCTCGTGGGCCAAACTAGAACATTGCATAAACCTTCGAACTGCCCACAACGCACAGTTCACATTTCTATGAGGGGACTAACGGTGATCGAACATTCGGTTCGTTGTATACGAAGATTGTCGCAACGCTTACTAGCTTGTTGGTTCTCGCCTGATCTTGCTTTAATGCTATATATTTCAGTGTTTACCTTAGACTGGGAATATGTTGTATTTAGGTATGTATGTGTATGTCAATTGTTGATATAATATCGATAATTACGATATTTGACTATTTATATTCCCATATCGATAGCAAAATAATCAGCTGTTTAAAAGAAAGAACCAGAAACCAATATTTTTTAAATACATATGCAGTTAATTTTGACAATGTACTAACTATGGATTTAAAACTAAGCTAATATTTGAAAATACAGGTGAATAAAGTAGTAACGAATTATAATACAAGTGAAAAAAGGGAATTACACTATGTATCGTGCTCGAGACTGTTAAACATACGATAGGTCGAGTTTGTCAACACATCACTGACAATCTATCGGCAGGGCGACAAAAAACATTTGTTTTTGTTTTCTCACTTAAAAATATATCCTTTCAGAGATAATTGCAAGTCATGGCAACGGAAATTACGACAAAAGCGCGATTAGAGAGACTAATAGAGGCAAAAAAGGAACTGGAAGCACAAATCAATAAAAATGGAGAAATCTTGGCTGCGGTAAATACTTGCATATAAGTATGTAGGCAAGGTGACAGAGATTGAGGTTGCCCAAACTTATGTGACGTCACAAATGCTTCACTATATGTCTTCAGAAAACTGTCTAATTGCAATGTATGTTAATTTATAAACTTATGCTTAATCCATGCAGAACGGAAATGTCGGCATGAACGGTCCACTTGTTGATGCTGAGGGTTTCCCGCGCAATGACATTGACATCTACCAGGTACGGCAAGCACGTCAGACGATCATTTGTTTGCAAAATGATCATGCTCAACTGTTGGACCAAATACACGATCTGCTTAACCAATATCATGCCGAGATAGCTACCACAGATCCCGAGCTGATCAATCGTGCCTCTGCCTTAGAATTAAGCAATGGTCGGAAGCACGGCGGATCAGTGTTACTTCCACTAAATGCACGGCCGCTAGTTGTAGTCAATCTTGTTAGCCCCAATTCGCCAGCCGAGGAAGCGGTCAGTATAAAGTCACAAATATGCATATGTAGTTCAGCTATCTTTATTGAAATGTAATTATTTTCTATTCTGCAGGGCTTGCGCGTGGGCGACAAAATATTGCGTTTTGGTTCCATCAACGAAACTAACTTTAAGAATAGCCTTGAACAAATCGGCGAAGTTGTGCGCAATATGCAAAATCAAAATGTCCAATTAAAGGTTAAGCGCGCAGAGCAATTCCTTGACATGGTACTGGTGCCAAAGACTTGGGTCGGTCGCGGCCTGCTGGGATGCAATATTGTGCTGCCGCCAGCGGAGCTAATGGATCATTAGCATTAACATTAATTAGTTTATAGAATTTTTAAGCTTTCACCTGTTTTCAGAGTTTAAATTTAAGAAATGGATTTTCAAGCGTTGCAAACCATTAAAGTTGCATTTTTGGCCCAAAAAGCTAAATCAATTTGTCACTTCAATTTTGCCTTTAATGCGGTGAAATGTCGAACGGCAACGGCTGCTGGCCAACTGTGTGAAGCAATGACAGCAATATATCAAAGGCGATGGGGTCAGGGTGTCAAAAGCAACTGAAATTAAAGTTAAAAATAGATAGCGATAAATAGGCAGAATTAAGATTCATGCAAAAGAAAATATTTAATAATTTGATTTAAATATAATTTATTAAAATATTTAGCAATTCATAAAGGAAATTGACCAAACTTTTAATACTTGCCTTCAAAGCTCTGCGAGAGCTTGAATTCAAATGCGCGCCCTCTTTCGCTGAGCTTTTGCAAGTTGGCAGCGCCAGCTTGCGCCTGCCTACTCCGCATCGCTTGTAGGATGCTCAACCCTAATGCCCGCTGAAGGATCCAGCAGCCTCTGTCTGTCAGTTTGTGCGCCGTGCGCGGTGCCAGTTGAGAAATACAATCGACAGTGCGTGCATTGCGGACGGTAGAAAATGTTGAGGCAATCGACGACAAATTGAGATGAAATTATTGTAGTGAAAATTTGTGTGTGGAATTAATTAAACAAAAAAAAGCACACAAAAAGGAAATGAAATAAAATTGAATAATGCGAACAAATTACTAATTACAACAACAAATGCGAGCACACCAATTCGAATTTTTGTGTATGTGTATTAAGCTTTATATAATGAATAGAAGTTTTCTTTTTCGTTTTGATGCTTGAATTTCAGTTTTTCGCGAAGCTGTGCACGAAGGACGAGCCAGTCCGTCAGTCAGGCACAGACATCTGACGGCCAGAGGATTCTTGATAGTGTCACTGTCATTGCCACTGCACAGCAAATGTCAACGACAGACACAAATAATACGAGCCTCTGGCCTCCGGAGGCTGCGCGATTACACGCTTGCGGGTGGCGCAACAAATAATGAGCAATTGAATAGGAAAACTAGCAAAAAGTTAACTAAGGGCGATGCTGGCGTCCCAGCTAACAAGGCTGCTGCTGCTGCTGCTGCAGCAATTTCGATAGCATGCCACATTTTGTGTGTGTTGTGGCATCCACAAGGATGTTTAACCACCCTCACTCAGCTTGGCTCAATAAATTATAAAAAAAAACCAAGCATGCGGCTGTGTATGTGTGCGTGTGTATGTGTGTATGATGAACGCTTCAACGCGCACACACACACAGTGCGAGAGAGAGACAGAAAGCGAGGCAGACAGACAGAGCACACACTTAAATTCATATACAAATACTGACTGTGGCATGAATAATTGAATGGCACTGCAATGCTGCCTACTTGTTAGCCAAATTGTAAAGCAGGCCAAAAGCAAAACATACGCTGTCTTTTCCGAACAATAAGGCAAACCTTTAAATTTTTGCTGCCAAACACACACTCACACACACACGCACAGCTGAGCTTTTTTTGCTTTGCTTTCATCTCATTATTTGCTTAAGCTTTTTTTTTGCTTTTTTTTTAATAATTTAGCAACTACCGTTACCGCCAAATCTGCAAAATGGCTTACAGTTTTACACGTTTTGCCATTCGTTGAGGTGGCAAAAATCTTGGCGCTTATCTGCGCAAACAGCTAAATAATTCATGATGTAGCCAATTTAATACACATACAGAATTTATGTGTGTGTGTTAGTGTGTGTATTGAATTGTGTCATGTTGTGTGCTGTTTGTACAGTTGGTCGCTGTGCTTCTTGCTGTCATTCGTCTCGTCGCTTTTTTGACGATGACAGATTAGGCAATTTGGCTCATTAGTCGCCAGGATGTGGCCAAAAGCTGTTGTCATTGCTAGCTATTTTTAGCCACAGCTTGCCAGCAAATCTAATTTATGCCCTGATTTTAAATCTTATGCCAATCACAGGAACGTGGCTGCAACGCAGCTGGAGCCGAAGGACATGTGCAACAACGAAATGCCGCTATGCGTGTGCACAACAGCAGCAACACAGCTATTGCATTAGCCGTCCATAACAGCAGCAACAGCAGCAGCAGCCTTGATAGCGTTTACAGGACTCTAGCGACAGGTTACGGCTCCAGGGCAACTGATTGGGCACACGAGCATCGTGATAATAATGATGCAGCTACAATTTCAACAGCAGCAGCGGTGTTATAAATAACGCAAGGACATGGATGGGCGCAACGAACGCGAGGACAACGGCAACATCAGCTGCATGTGTGACAAAAATAAATGCAGCCATGCACATCTGCATACGCAAGTGGTGCTAAAATTAAAATACTTATAGTCGTATATGTTACACACACACACACACGCACGCACGCACACACAGATATATCATATTTAATGCAATTGCACTTGGAGTGCACGAACAAGTGACAGCTAAGTGAATTTTTCAGATAATTGCCCGTGCGCCAAAAAGTAGGCAGCAAAAAACGTAGAAACGTAAAAACTAAAGCTAAGCGACGACGAGCGCGCAGACACACACACACACACACGACGGCCAAGACTTTGATTAGGCAGCGCCTAAGGCTGTGTGTGTGTGTGGACGAGAGAGAGAGAGAGAGCGCGGAAGAGAGGGAGTGGAAGACAGAGGGCAGGCGGCCAAGGTGTCGAGTTTCAAGTGCTTCTGTGTGTGTTCGTATGCGTGTGCCTGTGTTAGTTACTGCGCTTAACCTGATTTACAAAAGTTTCGTCCTTTCTACGTAAACTACCAACACACTGACAGGCAGGCAGGCACACACACACACACATGCACATATGGATGACAGCGGCTGGATTAGTCACAATAGCAATAAACCGTACAACCGCAAGAGAAGACGCCGCCAGCTGCCAGCCACGAGGAGGGAACGACGACTGTCTATTGTGAATGAAATGCATGTTCATAGCCAATAACCTCGCCTAAATGAAGCATGAAGAAACAAAATGTGCGCACGATATCCCTGATCGTGTGTACATTTACCTATCTACTAGTGGGTGCCGCCGTCTTTGATGCCCTCGAATCGGAGACGGAAAAGCGACGCTGGGAGGCGTTGCAAAGTGAGCCCCCGCCAAATACTTAATATCTAAGCACGTAATAAACAAATGTGATTGTTGCAGGTGTCGAGGATCGTATAATACGCAAATATAATATATCACAGGAGGATTTTAAAGTCATGGAGACGGTGGTGCTCAAATCAGAGCCACACAAGGCTGGCCAGCAATGGAAGTTCACTGGCGCATTCTATTATGCAACGACAGTGTTAACAACAATTGGTACATAAGCTAATTTAACTTGTTTAAACTTAAAGAAAAATTAATATCAAACAAACTTGAAATTTAGCTGAAAGCTAGGTCTTGATCATGCCGGAATTGCTAAGTAAATTATAGCTTTATATATTTTATTGTTTTCATTTTGGTTATTTTTAAATAAATAATAATAATTAACAAATAAATAAAAAATCAAATTTTAAAAATTAAATTATTTTTGTCAGCTTTTTTTTATTCTGCTTTATATAATTGAGCTCAATAATTTTTGTCAATTTTTTTGTATATTTAAACTAATTTTTAAATAACCAAAATTTATTAATATTTATTACCATTTTATTTTATTTCGCTTTATATAATTTTTTTCTGGAATGAGTTAAAAAATTTTTGTTGTATACTTAACATAGTTGTTAAATAATAATTTAAAATATTTTAAATTTGTCTTCAATTTTTGCTGTTTTTTTTAAATTTTGTTCTTATATTGAGGATCAAAGCTCAAGTATAAATAGTATATTAAAAATGTTAAAAAATTATAAAAAATAAAATTTTTTTGATAATTTGTTTAAAAATTTCAAGGCTATGGACACTCAACGCCAACGACCCGTGGCGGGAAGCTGTTCACCATGTGCTATGCAATTGTTGGCATACCCTTGGGTCTTGTTATGTTTCAGAGCATCGGAGAAAGAGTGAATAGACTGAGCAGGTACACAACAACAAATGTTTCAAATATATATCCTATATATATATATATATATATATATATATTCGTTCAATTTCAGTTTTGTCATCAAGGCGGTGCGAACATCGCTGCGCTGCAAACGAACGATTGCCTCAGAGGTGGACCTCATATGCGTTGTCACGACGCTCAGTTCACTGACGATTGCAGGTGGTGCTGCGGCCTTTTCAAGATTTGAGGGCTGGAGCTACTTTGATTCAGTATATTACTGTTTTATTACTTTAACCACAATAGGTGAGAATAGTTATTAAAGTGAATATAAACTGCTCGCACTGGGTTTGAAAACTTCTTCAGAATCAGTAATTTCTTAATTTTCTTTGACTTCGATAAAGGTTAAAATATTTTTAACTTAATTTAAATACTTTTTATTTATCTACAATAATTTCTCTTCTACAAAAATTAACTGTTAAATTTGGTAGGAATACCTTTCTTGCCCAAAATCTATATTTCCTTCAATGATCTTGTTCTTCAGTAATATTCAATTTTTCAAAATATATTTTGAAACTTGACTGCAATATTGTATTTCCGCAGAGTAATTTATTTATACTGATTCTTTTTCAATAATATTCATTTTTATATTTTTTTTTAAGCATTTAAAAATAATAGATTTTAGGAAAACCCTTTTTTATAAAATCATTTATTTCTCCTTCTAAAATAATATTTAAACAATTAAAATTTTTTCAAAAATTAGCTTTGAAACTTATTTTGAATCTATCTATCTATTTATCTTTCTTTAATTAAATAATTTTGCAAAATGTACAAATCTACATTATATATATTATAATTTTCATATATATAATATAAAATATGTAGAAATGAATATTAAACTATAAACAATTTGTTATAGGCTTCGGCGATATGGTAGCTTTGCAGAAAGACAATGCGCTAAATCGAAAACCCGAATATGTAATGTTCGCACTGATATTTATACTATTCGGACTGGCAATTGTTGCCGCCTCACTGAATCTGTTAGTACTAAGGTTTGTTACAATGAATACCGAGGATGAGCGGCGCGACGAGGCCCAGGCCATGCAGGTGAGCCTCCCATTGTGGGCCAGTTTCTTTTCATCAATATTGTCCATGCCATTCCTATTTCTTATGTAGACTTGCGGACTGTTTTATTATAAAAAAATAATTAAATAATACAAGTACATTTATCCAGTCAGTTGCTAGTAAAAGTTGTGCTTAAACCTTAAACTTATCTCTATTAGTAAAAGTATTCAGCTACGTACATCTACCTGACCTCTAACTGCAGAGTCTAATTCTCCCTTTGCAGATCTTTTAAATGCGATTTTCAACATTTTTTTCACTAATTTCTTAAAAACAAATTAAAAATTTATAAAAATCAATTTTATTTATTCAATTAAACTAAATGCTTGCCGACTTTATAAAGCACAATTTATCAATTTTTACAAATTAATACGTGCACAATTCTCGTTTTGTTTTTTGCTATTTGTAAGAATTGTATTTGAATTCCTTAATTTATTTACTCAATTTATTCCAAAAAAATCTCTTGATCGACAATCAAATATAAATATTTATATAAATATATTTGTTTCTGTATCTTTTTTGGAATATTTTCGGTTGCTTTTGACTTAATGAAATATGAAACAAATGCAAAACTCGCGCGCGCGCTTAGTTTATGACCAAGTCCACTTTATGGACCAAAGAGGTGATTGCTGGTGGCTTTTTGACCTAAACTACAAATATATCTACTCTGACTAAACAAATACTCCAACTATTACTATTACTACTACTTCAGTAGCACTGTACAAAAACATTTTTCATCTCAACAACAGACTAAAGACAACAACACAATTTCCATTCTTCAATCTTTAGCTCTGCTGTATCTAAGTAAATATTAACTAATTCCTGCTATTACAGGCACTACAAGTGGCTGTCAAACTGGAGGGCGATGTGATAACATCCAACGGTTCCATATTGAGCGGCTACGAAGGACACGACGGCCAATCTCTGAACGGCACGAATACATCCTCGATGTGCTCTTGCCGCTGCATTTGCCTCAATGGCAATCGCCACAAAAGGTATATTATATACGTAGATCTAAGCTTTAAATCTGATGTAAGCATAGGCCAATTAGCTAATCTAGACAAGCTGGGGGTTGGCTGAGTGCCTGTCTGTGTGTGTGTGATTGTACGACTTCCGCTTCCGCTTCCGCTTCCTTCTTTACTGTCGCAGAAAAGTGCATGTGAAAGAAGAAGGCAAGGCATTTGGGTTTGTAGCAGGCATAAGCCTGCATTCAGTCTTAGGCATAGATTTTGTACCTTAAGGGAGGAAAAAATCTATTATATTAATATATTAATATATGAAATATCATATGAACTTGCAGCTTAGACTGTAAATCAGAATTTTCATATTTTAGTGCTCTGCACTCGAGGTGTAAGCTGCTCTGTTTTGGAAACTAATTTTTATTATGCGTGAAAATACTCATAAATTCAGAATGTGACTTGTAATGCACTGAATGTGCTTGAATACAAATACTTATTTTATTTATTATTTGGCTGTTCTAGAACTCCTGATATCATGAGGTACCAAAGGAAATAAGAAAGATAGAGAAAGAGAGAAAGAGGTACTAAAATTATAGTATATCAGAAATTTAATAGAAATTAGACATAGAACTAGAAAAACTCACTTCGTTTGTTCCCTCAAGAATTCTTAACAGTATCAGAAGTCAGTGAAGCTTCGCACTGATTTTCAAAAATGAAAGCAAATATACCCCATGTACACATTTTCAATGGGTATACATATACTACATCTCGCATTTTGAGCTTAGCCGCTTAGTTTAGGCTTAGAATTTGTTTGGTATCCTTAGTACAACTTTGCCCATTTGCATTCAAATTTCCATGGAAAATGTTATTCAAGTTCATAAAATGTTTCAATGTTTATAAAATTGTTTTAATATAATATAATTGAGTTCCATGTATTTGTTAATTATTACTAAGCAATTATTACTGAGCAGATGTTGTCTGCATAGCTTCCAGAGCCCAGTAGCATAGAACTGTAAGTGAGAGAGAGCGTCGCTCGACTGTTGCTTTTGCTCTCTTGTGCAAAAGCTACAACCATACAATTCCCAAATGGTTACAGCTGAGCAAAGGTAGCGCCGGTCGACGGGCATCTGCATAACTGTAAAATCATTCTGAGCTGGACTTCATATCGGGTTTTCATTGTCCGATGCCAGACTTAAATATAGTTTTTCCCAAGTTTTATATTTGCCTATTATACGATCCTTGACGGAGATAGTCCTCACAACGGCTCTTAGCTTCGCTCCGTATCCGAGTTGAGGGCGTCAATTACAGTTAGGGATGCTTCATATAGACAACTCCTGCTCAAAATCTGTGATAAGCTTATATCACTCGTTGATTAGCAATAATCAACAAATACATGACAAAATTTAAATATTTTTTATCTATATATGTTTTTATACTGTAATGTTTTTCACCAATTTCCTTTTCACTTAACACTTTATCTGCTATGGCTTTGCATTTTCTGTTGATGCCGTGTAACTAACTCTTTGGCTTTGTTTGATGTCTCAATGTTGTCTAAACCTGAATACTCTGCTGGCAACAGGCAAAAAAACGCGACCAGCGCAAACGTTGCAGAGTAAGCAGAAGCTTTACTTAAACATGTTTCATTTGTTATGCTGCATGTGTTAGCTTATGAAATATATTATTAAGTGCAATTTGATATATTAGTAAATATTTGTTGTGTACACTTGCTGTTTCCTTAGGCATCAATATAAGCTGCGTCGTTCGCCCACGCACATACGACACCTGCTGCCGGAGGTGGTGCCCATGCAGGACCTCAACTATGATACGCAGAGCATGCACACGATTGGCGCGCTCAATGGCAGCGGCATCATGACTGGCAGCCACATGGGCATGGGCATGGGCATGGGCATGGGTCTGGATGTAGTCGATGATACGGAAAATCGTTCGCCACACAAACCGCCGCACAAATTGCTCAAACGCAATGTATCACTTTTATCATTTCGCATTTAGAGAACTAAGTTTGGAGCAACGAACGTGGCCCCGCCCCTCCAGCTGTGCCCCTCACGCAAAAGCCGAAAAACAAAAACGACTTAAATATAATTAAAGTGATAAACTTTCTCTGATACATTGTACTTAAACCTAACGGAATTTGAAACTGAAGCGTAGTGAATATAAAATTGACAAAAATTGATAAATTGCTAACTTAGAAATGTGCAAAAAACTTGTGCGTTTGCGAAATTAATATTTATGTGCATTTACAATGTAAATTAGTGCATAAATAGCATCTATGTATACACGAAAACACACATAAATAGATATGTAGCTGGTAAGCATTACAGATCTAACAATATCTTAATGTATATTATTGAATTAGGGCACTAGAAAATTGATCTGAACCACTGCCATTTCCGAGCGATAGACAAAACTCACAATGATCAATAACTCCTGCTGTCTCTCACACTCGCATACGAGCTCTCCCTCCCTCCCTCTCCCTCTCTCTCTCTGTCTTAAAATTTATCAAAATATCGAAATATATAGTGAGAACCACTAGACTAGAACTGCCTTTACCAGGCTGCACTTAGTTACCATTTATAAACATCAAAATAGTCTCAGAACCGTGTCAAATTTCAATTCTGTAAATATTTAATATATACAAAAATCTATTGCTTAATAATTTCGATTAGAACATAGCCCATTTTATTCGTATATATTATTATATTTCTTATGATTATAAATTATGAGCGGGATATTAGTTTAATAATTCTACATCTAAATATACATACTATAGCTAGTAGTCGCATACAAAGTAAATAAAACAACGCCAAGGTAAAATGAAAGCCAACTACTTGACTTACCAAGTGCTCAATTGTCTCCGAAGAGTGCCAAACATAAGATAGATTTAGAAAACAATGGTGTACAAGTGGATGCCACGCCCACTGCACCTATTGCCCCGCCATTCGCAGTCCCAAATGCTACACCCTCAACTTCCTCAGACGATTGCATTTGGTTCACACTTAGTAGATAAATCCCAACTACAACTTTAAGCGAATTCGATTCTTCCATTTTTAAAATTATAATTTCCAAAACAAATCCTTATGTGCTTTGTAAATATTTTAGTGAACGTAATTACAGATATACTTTAAAGACAAAAAACTATTGTTAAAAAAAGCTACCCAATTCTAAAATAGTTATGTATTTAATTCTGTATTATCAAGAAGGTAAACAAACAAAAAATTAATATTATAACATACGACTTTTTAATATACAATTTATTTCAAATTTTTAGTAGTTATTGTCTCGTATGTGTTTAAAGAATTTCAAAAATATGAAATTTAGCTACTCAATTCTAAATGAAACAAATAAAACAAATTGTAATTTTAATTCATTGAAAATAAAGCGAAACAATTCAAATCAAAAGACTTTGTAATATACATTCCAAAAGTATATTCAAATTCGAAAATAAATACCAAAATTTATATATATATATACTTTATGAAGATTTTTTTCATCGACCCCAATCAAGTGCACTCAGTTTTCAGTTTGTATATAAGTAATCCATTCAGTTTTTATTGAAATATTTGTAAAGACAAATGTGTGATAGTTTGGTTTAAACAATTTGTTAGGCAAGAGTTTGTGTTGCCTTTGCTCAAAAATTAATCAATGGAAAAAGTATCCGACCGGACGACCTGATGTCCATTCTTTGTTTCTTTTAGTTTGTGTTTACAATCAGGTATACTCAACAATTGTATTACAGTTGGAATAGCGATGTCTGTCGAATATATTCTTAAAACATAATTTTTAAATATTAAAAAAATGTTTACGATGTTTGGTAGTGGATAGAAAGTTTGCACGATTTGTTTTCTTTTTTTGTGTTAGGTTTTACTTTGTTTCAAGTGATTTTGGTGGATAAGGGTGTCTGTATTTGTTTTTCTATATAGTAAATAGTCGAAAACTAAAATCAATATTTTTATAATTAATGGGACAGCTAACTAATCTAATCGTCCATGCTTTCGTTGTTGCGGTCCGGTGAAGCGTTTCCATTTTTCGGCGATGCTGACCGGGAACGAGAGCGAGAACGTGACTTGTTATCAGCCGATGCGGAGCGATCACTGCAAAACAGATTTTTAGAAAAAATTTTAATTTATATTAAATATTTGGGGCCACCAAACACGGTCTGCGCATCCCAACAAAATCAAAGAAAGCACGAAAAGAAAACATATGTCACATAAAGCACATAAATATGAACATCAAAGTTAATTATTATATATAATATCTTACCGTGAACGCGAATCACGGCGATTCGATTTTGAACGTGAACGGGAACGTGACTCACGCTTAGAGTTGGAGCGTGAACGTGAATGTGAATCGCGCTTGGGCGAGCGGGAGCGAGTGCGCGAACGAGACTTTGACTTTGACTTGGACACATCGCGAGATTTGCTGCAAAAAGAGAGAATAAATTGTTACAAAATAAAAACTAAACGTAAAACAATTGTACTCACTTAGAGCGAGAGCGTGTGCGAGAACGCGATTTGACTGGTGACTTGGACTTGGAGCGGCCACCACGGGACTTGGAGCGGCTACGTGACTTAGAGCGCGAATGCGACGAACGGCGTGAACGTGAACGTCTGCGAGAGCGAGAACGTGAACGAGAGCTGGACGAGCGGGATCGACCACGTCCACCACCGCCGCCGCCACCACCACCGCCACCACCACCGCCTCCACCACCACCGCTGCGTCCACCACGACGATCTTCGACCAAATGTACACGACGACCATTCAGCTCGGTATCATCAAGCTTCTCAATGGCGGTCTTCATGTCCGACAATGAAGCAAACTCTACCACACTGAAATTTAAGTAAAAATAAAATGAATTTGACAAATTTGATTTGAAGTTTCAAAGTCATTTACCCTTCGTTGCGGCGCTGCTTGTGAGCATCAGCATAGGTTACCTCGCCTGCCTGGCGCATATAATCCTTCAGATCCTGCAGATAGCGCACAAATACGAAAAATAATAGAAGAATTAGTACAAAATATAGCCATTGATAGTTTTGTGCTCGTCTAGACAAATCAAATACAGCGTGCAGACCAAGCAGTTTGAATATATTCCCGAGCTGGTATCGCTGAATGCTATGTACGCGCAACGTTTATGTGGAATTGGGCCTTCCTAACCAAAGCTCTGCCCTCTTTGCCTCTCAATCTCTCACTTTCTCTCTGGTATGTAAGATGTGATCGCTCTCGCATCGCCTGCCTAATGGATCGAAATCTCGTTTTGTCTTTGTGGGGGTGGTTTTAGGGGGGTAGAAGTGCAAGTGCCAGTTGCGCCGTTGCCAGAGTTCAGTCAGAATTGAGCACAACAGTTCGCCAGTTCGGTCGAAATATTCATTGCTTGTGTTTGCTGCTGCACGCGATACAAAACGTAAGCATAATTATATGTAACATATGTATATTTATATAGATATTTTTTAATTATTGATTTTTGGTTTCTTGATCAAAAATAAAACAAAAGTAATTGAGTTCTTACTTAATGCGCTTTCAGAGAGAGGACACACACATCGCTTTTATCGCACAACACCGAGAGTTTTGTTTGTCTGCCTAGTTACTGTCGGCCCTCGGCTGGACCGCAAGACCTCATCAAAGGAGCAGTTAGCGAGAAGATCGAGCTCCACATCTCTACCATCAAATCATTTGATCGTCATGTTGGCGGCCAGGCCAGGCCAGCAACCAGAAAATCGCATCAAAGCCATGCCAGAGAGTCGGGCAAATGTTTGATATTTTGTTTATAGTTTTTGGTGTGTGTTTCAACATTATTTTGAATAAATGCATTTATAAAAAATATTGGTTTTTGGTTTTGTTTTGTATTTGTGCTACGTTTATGGTTTTGGTTTGTTCTTTTATTTTTTAATCGTGGGACCCAAAGAGACGCACAGTCAGAAACAGTTGCCAGGGAGCCAAGACCACTGCCGCGGCCGCAGACGGGATTTGTGGATGAGAGAGCGAGCAGTGACAACAGTGTAGATCAGCACAGTACACAACAGTCTGCAACCAGGCAGTCAACCAGGCGGCGGCATCTCTCATCTCTCTCTTATGGCCTCACACATTAACGAACTGTAAAAATAAGAAATACGTTTTGGGGATCGCCTCTGAGGCTGGACGACGTCGTTGGCGTCAGTGCGACGATGGTGCGTTAGCTGCTCCAAGAGTCTCTAGTCGATAGTCAGCCAGAGCCAGAGCCAGAGCCAGACCAAGCCAGGCCAGTAGTAAGGGGGGAACACAGACACATAGAATTGGCAAATGTTGTCGCTAGTTTTGGATGCATTGTGTGCTGCACTTTGTCTAACCGAAGATGTAGTGAACGCGTTTAAGAGTCAGCCAGTATCATCATCGTCATATGTCATCATCAGTCATCATCATCCCATCGCATCTAACTGTTTGTTATTTTGTTAACATCTCTCTCAATCCCTCTCTTACGACCTCACAACTCTCACATTCGCTATAAGGAATTTGACAATTCTTTATATAATTTTTTTAAATTAAATTGTGAATGCTTAATCATTTAAATACCTAAGTCTCAGAGTACAAGAGGCTAGCCTACGCAATACGGCTCTAACATATTCTTGGCATTGAGCGTAGGCTGGCCTTTTGTTAGCCCATCACAATTCACATCAGTTTTATGGTTTTTTTTTGGCATGGATGACGACGAGGCATCAACGACGACGACGACGGCGGCGAAGGCGATGACGACAGCGCGATGACCAAGTGTGTGTTTGACTGGGAGATGGCTTAAAAGGGAACATATCGCTTTTTATCACCCAAGCGAAGATCTTTCTCAAAGCGACCGACACTGATAACGTGGGATGCTGTCAGGCGTCGAAATCTTTTATTTTATATACGTTGCGTGCGTGTTCTGTTTGCTGTCTCTCGATTTTAGTGGCATTTCTTCCGATTTGTAACACATGTTTGTAACTAGTTGCGGCCCCCGGCCATGCCTTATATCGTACATCGACGAAGTAATTGGCCATAGCTCGTTTTTGATATTGTGTTCAGCTCGGTTTGTGGCACCTTTTCTCTGCCTGTATTTTTTGTCACTCTCTTCTAAGCTCTGGGACGGTTCAGTAACAGATACACATCAAACTCTTTTATTTTTGTTTTTGGTTGGTGTGAAAAAAATAATTGTTGGGATTGCAACGATCAGTACCAGAGTTGTTAACGAACATTTTGCATTGTTTTACTTTTGCTTAGGTCTAAGTCAACTGTACAGCTTAAACATTATAGATATTCGTCATTACCGGAGCTGGGAAATCTTCGATAAGGACATAAACTAAAATTATTCAATTCGCCTTTTTATTGCTCAATGGAAAATCTTTCATTGATCACGATTGCCCACATTCGTTAGTTTTCCAGCTCCAATAATTGAGAAAGGATATCTAAGCTACTTGAAAGAAAATAAAATGCAAAATGATTTTGGGGAGCATCACCAACTTATAAAAGGATTTAAAAATCATAAAACAAGGAAAAACAAGGAAGTGCTTGGTTTAAATTTACCATATAGTTTATAGATAGGTTGATTAGCTCTTTCAGACTGACGCATCAGTAAAGAAGTTAGGTAGATGTTAAATCTAAATACTCTAATCTACAGTTTAAGCTATATGGATAGACATGTATAAAAATTAAGAAGACTTACCTGCCAGCTAACGCGACTGGATAAATTCTCGACAATCAAACGATACTCAGTGCGCAATGGCGGTCCATAGCGAGAGGATGATCTGGAATTTTTGTTTCTGGTGAATAATTTAATGAATTCAAAATTAGTATTGACACTGCGCTGCTGCTCAAAACATTTTTATATATATGTACAATATTGTGCAAATTGTAAATGCTACTTCTTAGCCAAAGGGCGAGAGCATAAATTGGAAGCGTTTCAAAGGAACAAAACAGAAATAGGATTGGGATGAGCAGCCGCAAAAGGCGTACCGCAAAAATTCAATTAATAATAAATTATGTGCATTAAATTATTAAGACGTGCAGAAGGTATGAAAATTAATAGATATGTATCATAATTAGCAAAAACAGAAAGTTATATTAACATATATATAAACAGCATGTCAGTGTCTTTAGATGAGTGAGACTATCACTATTACAGTAGACCCTTAAAAAGTTAATCTGATGACAATGTGCATTGTAAGTGCACTGAACAAACGAAAATTAAATGTTCGAAACCCCAAAACAAATATTTATATAAATGAGGTTTTCCATGTTATGTAAACTTTTTAGGTAGAGAAGATTATATTTTGTTAAAGGAATAAACATTTGATTGATTTCTTGATTTAATCTTCGTTAAGGTCGATTCAATGCGAATCGAATTCAGTTAAAAATGCTCCTATTTTTTAGTCATGGGTCCACTGTATCACGTTCATTGAACGAATGAGAAAAGCAGAAAAACCTAATCTAAAAGTAACGGTCGCAGCTGTACTTACTTATCATTATATCTGCCGCCTCCACCGCGGCGTCCTCCGTAGCGATCATCGTAACGATCCCGATTACTGCCACGCGCTGTGCCTCTAGCTGGCTCAACAACAACGCTAAATAATTTGGGATCGAAAATATTTTATTTTCAGGTTTAGCTTAATTTTCGCATTATTTTCACTTACCGTTCCCCCAGCAGTTCTTTCCCGTTTAATTCGTATACAGCGTCATCTGCATCACGATAGTCCTCAAATTCCTGTAAATTGAATTAATTATCGATTTGTCAATTTTTGGCTGCTCTACTTTTTTTGTTTTGACTACTTACCACGAAGCCATAGCCATTCTTGATAAGTATATCACGAGTGCGTCCATAGCCTTTGAAAAAACGCTCCAAATCGCGTTCGCGGACTCCGTACGGTAGTCCACCTACATAAACGCGTGATCCAACCATATTTGTTGTTGATTATGCTGTAAAATATCGAAACGAGTATAAAAACGTTTGTTTTTTTCCACCAATTCTTATATTGTTAAGCATTAAACTACTGCATAAGTGTGAGTGAGAGATATGCATGTATAGTATGTGTGTATTTGCCAAGATGGCGGCGCCGCCGATGTCAACGTTGTCCACCGGGTACAGAACTTTTCAGCGAAGAAAATGCTTTTAACTTCGTTAACATTTATATCTAATTATTATAATACATAAAATGGTTTACATACCGCTTATTAACAAGTATTTATTGTTAATATATCCTTTGCTGGATTTATACACACTTTTTCTATTTTTTTTTTTACGCACCGCACGTCACACAAAAATAATGCAGACTCAACCTCAACGTAATTTCTACGGAAATGACACTGAACTCAAAACTGCTATGCCGCCTCAATGCGGCGTCAGCATTCTGTTTAGTTGCTCAGCCCTGGTATATTGTAAAGTAATACGATAGTTTCTTGTCACGAATTTTTTAAATATGTGTATTGTAGTGACGTGCCCATATTTAGTATCCTTGTAGAAGGTAAAAAATATTTTATATAATTATTAATATTATAAAGATTAATAAGTGAATAATAAATTTACCTTTATACCATACACTTTTTGCAATAATTAAATCATAAATAAAATTCACGCTTAACAGTTACTGTTTTTTAAATTTTACTCTCTTTTTATATTAACAGTTACTATCGCAGACTTTGTCATCTCGGCCGGCATCTGCTGTCAGATTCGTGGTCGCCATTTTTCCAGCTCATTTTTCGGCACACTCAGGTACTAACTTTTTCTCTTGTTGTACGTGTGAGTGAGCTGGGCGTCTGCTGCGAAAAAAATTTATTTTTCTTGAAGAAAATTGTTCGACGCATAATATACTAAGAAAACAAGAAGTGAAAATGGCTGACTTAAATGATTCTAATGGAAACTACGACGACAATGATGAGGTGAGCGTAATGTTTGTTATAGATTTGCATATCGAAAATGCCGATGCCGCGCCGACATATTGAAATATTAAAAACGCATTTCCAATTTGCAGTATATGCACATTAGCAACGTAATATTCTTTCATGCAGTATTGATACAGGTCATATGCAGAAAAAAAGTAATTATTCTTCGGTTGCCTTTTGACAGTAAAACATCAGTTTGTGCTACATGCGACAGTGCAAATAATTAAAAAAAAAAATGGCGGGCGGAATTTTTTTTATTGATTTCATTTGTGACTAACTGTACTTCTTTGTTGCTGTTTATTTTTCCGCAGCAAATTTCTGAGCCCGAACAGCTCCGTAAACTGTTCATCGGCGGTTTGGACTACCGAACCACCGATGAGGGTCTTAAAGCTCATTTTGAGAAGTGGGGCAATATTGTAGATGTCGTGGTCATGAAGGATCCCAAAACAAAGCGTTCACGCGGCTTCGGCTTCATAACTTACTCTCAGTCGTATATGATTGATAACGCGCAGAATGCACGTCCCCATAAAATTGATGGACGCACTGTAGAGCCAAAGCGTGCTGTGCCACGACAGGAGATCGATGCACCAAATGCCGGCGCCACGGTGAAGAAGCTGTTTGTCGGCGGTCTGCGCGACGATCATGACGAAGAATGCTTGCGCGAGTATTTCAAGGAGTTTGGACAAATTGTGGGAGTTAATATTGTGTCTGATAAGGATACGGGCAAAAAGCGCGGCTTTGCGTTTATTGAGTTCGATGACTATGATCCTGTGGACAAAATTATCCTACAAAAGACGCACAACATCAAGAACAAAACGCTTGATGTGAAGAAAGCAATTGCCAAACAGGATATGGATCGTCAAGGTGGCGGCGGCGGCGGTGGTGGTGGCGGCCGTGGTGGTCCTGGTGGTCGTGCTGGCGGACGAGGTGGTGATCGCGGCGGCCAAGGCGGTGGCTGGGGTAATAATCGTCAAAATGGTGGCGGTAATTGGGGTTCCGGCGGTGGAGGCTTTGGGAATAACGGCAATTTTGGTGGCAACCAAGGTAGCTCTGGCGGCTGGAACCAACAAAGTGGCCCGTGGAATAACCAGGGTGGTAACAGCGGCGGCGGAGGCGGAGGCGGTGGTTGGAATAATGGTGGCGGCGGCGGCTACAGCGGCAACGGTGGCAACAGCAACGGCAACTGGGGCGGCGGCAATGGTGGCGGTAGCTTCAGCAACGATTACCAACAGAGCTACGGCGGTGGCCCGCAGCGCAATAGCAACTTTGGCAACAATCGCCCAGCGCCTTACAACCAAGGAGGTGGCTTCAACAAGAGTAAGTTAACGGATTACTGATATTTTGACACCGTCAAACTAAATGAATGTTTTTAGGTGGTGGCCAAGGCGGCGGCGGTGGTGGCCAGGGTGGTTTTGGCGGCGGTAACAATTACAACACTACCCAAGGTGGTAATATGGGCGGCAATAGACGTTACTAATCAAGGTAAATATGTGTATTCCACAGCTAATTCTCTCTTTTCTATATATATACGTAAATATATGATTACATTTTAAAGCGTTCGAACGAAAAAATAATGTAGTTGCAAACAAAAATCGAAGCAATTGTGTTAATCAAAAACATATTTTTAATGCGCTAATGCAAATTTTCTCCTTTCTCGCAAATAGGTAAACACTTACAGAATCAGTTCAAGCTAGACAAACAGGCAGTCTAGGCGCAGGCAGTGAGACAGGCAGAAGCAGAGGCAGAGACAGGCAATCAATGACAGTGAGAGGCAGTGAAATTTGGGCAAGGCAGGCAGACAAGATAATGATAATTGAATGAAAGCAAGTAATCAGCAGCTATACAGAAAATGCAGTGTATGCAGTTATCAGGCAATCAACATTGAGCGCCCTCAAGACCAGCCTAAGCAACTAACTAAAACCCGATAAAAAGAAAAAAGAATGAGAAATCCAAAAACAACTCAAATCAAACGCTAATAATTATGTTTGATATGTGATCACCTGAGCTGAACTCACTTCAACCAACAATATCAACAATTATTGCTAATGTCTTGTCTCTCAATTATACATACATTTAATTTTTATGATCAATTCGTGTTTAGGATTTTAAGAACCTTGAACGCTTAGTTTTAACTAAATTAACACAACACACAACAAAAAAAGCAAAAACAAAAAACCTATCCGAAAAATATACTAAAACTATATAATTTTATTTATAAATTTGACTATTGAAAACGCATCTTATACAACAATTCTCTTTGATAATCCATACTGCATGTGGATAAGCTTGCCCGATTTTTGTGGCTAGCTGTGTTGAGCAATATCAAAAAGAAAAACGAAGGTAGTGTACCTTGCATATTCAATTTAGATGCTCATTTTATAAAGAACTTGTCTCGTACTTTCCACAATTTAATTTTATAGCAAATCAAGAAACATTTTTTAATTAAAAATATATAGAAAGAAAACTATTTTGTAATCAATTTTTATATGTTTAAGCTCTTCTATATCTATGATTTAATATTATTATCTGAGAAAATCACCAAAAACAAAGAAAGTAACTAAAGCCTGTTAACGCATAAAGAGACGCGAAAGTGAATGTACAAATGAATTACATCATTTTTTGTTGCAGAATGCAGAATTTAAATATGCATTATCCATTACATACCAATTTTTGTTAGTGTATAAGTCGTATATAGCTGCTACACTAATTAATTCTTGGTACAAAAGAACCAAAAGCAAAAATTTGTTCTGTAATTAGTACGTTATGAGGTTAAAAAACAAACAAAACTAAAGATAATAAAATTAATGTTACCCACCCACGAAATGTGACTACAAAGAAAAGAAAAAAAGTGAAGAAACCCCAATCCAATCCCGCAGCAAGAGGAATATCTTTCACACAGAGCAATCAAAAATTATTAGTAAGTTTTGCTAAGGTAGGCAAAAATCGAATTGAGAAACCGCAAAAGAGAAACGCTTGTGTAGATAATAGCAATTGCCGCACTTCGCGTCAAGTTTATACCCAAACACACATTGGCAACAGCTTACTAATGCACTACGTATTTCTTTGCAAGACTGCCCAAAGTGCTGGATACACTGCAATTCGGGCAGCTGTGGTACCCAAGGAGATTGGGCTCACCTAGGATTTTGGTTGGCTGTGAACTTTACTGAAGCTCTTGCTTCAGTTGAAAGGTAAGTGCAGGTAAAAAACAATTTCGATTGTGTCGTATTGAAAAATTTTAATAGAAATAAACAAATATATTTAAAAAAATGTTGTTTTTACTCTCATGAGGATGGGAATTTTAAGATTGCGGAAAACACGGAATTTGAATTCATGGCGGAGTGGCTGGGCTTATAAATTTAACCAAATCGATAATAATAGCTCATCGATAGATTGATACACGTTGCTGTGCTTAAATCAGAATGTTGACATTCAATGAATCGTTTTTTGCCGCCACAATTTAAAGTTACTTGCCAGTTACTCGGCAGTATTCGCAAGGCTATCACGTGCTTTCTAACTACCGTTATTTCGATAGACACCAGTGAGACCTTGGCACTTATATAGGGTTGCCAGCTCAATAGAAGGAGTAACAATCGTAGATAAATTTTCAGATACGGCAACACTCGCTTGACGTTTGAAACTTTTCCGGCTGTATCGTTGTCATTTAATTTTTAGCCAGTTCAGTTTTTGTGCTTTTCTTTCAGTGTTCAGCAGCAGAAATTTGTTTTCATGCCAAAAATGGTGAATAACTCGGTTGTAAATGCGCCCTTCTACCAAGAGGTACGTATGTCTATCATAAATTGATCTATAAAAATGCGATATTCTGCATAATTGCAGAAGCGCAAAATCGGTGGTCGTTCCGGTGGCAACGGCGGCACGGAGATGGCTGATTCAGATCAGAGCAGCGCCAATGCAGCCGAGAATAACGAGCATTTGCGTAAAATTTTTGTTGGCGGTCTCTCAATAAATACTACTGCCGAAACGATGCGCCAATTTTTCAGTCAGTTTGGCATTGTATCCGATGCTGTGGTTATGCGTGATCCCATTTCGAATCGCTCGCGTGGCTTTGGTTTTGTAACCTATGTTGAACCGGGCGCTGTTGAAAACGTTCAGCGTGCCCGTCCTCATATCATTGACAGCAAGTGAGTCTCCCCATTTTTACGTTTCATATAATTACATGGATATATATAAATATCACTCGCAGAACTGTTGATACCAAACGCGCTTTTCCACGCCATGAATTCAACAAGGCAATTGGTCATTTAAGCAATATTAAGACGAACAAGATATTCCTTGGTGGTCTCAAGGATTGCCACGATGAGAGTACTTTGCGAGAATATTTTGCACAATTTGGTACTATAAGCAGTGTGAAGGTACTATTAGACAAGGAGACCGGGCGCAAGCGTGGCTTTGGATTCTTGGAGTTCGAGGATACAGCTAGTGCTGCGCGTGCTCTAGGTATGCTGGACTCAATATGATAAATTGTATGTTCATGTTTATGTTTACACAGCTCAAAGCAAGCACTCCATTAAGCTAGTCACTGTGGAGGTAAAGAAATCCACTCAGATGCTGGATTGTAGCAAACGCATTCGCTTGCCGATTGGCGGGGCCGCATGCGCTGGCTATGCGCCACCTCAGCCGACCATCATGGATAACTTAGTCTATAATCCAAATTATAATCCGTATCAGGCACAAACGTCATTGCCACCGTCGGCTTTCTTTAATGGCTGGGCCTCGTATGTGGCACCTACAATTCCAACAACAACCGTTAGCTATCCGCACCATCAACAACAATTGCCTGGCTACTCGCAGGGCGGGTGGGCCTACGGCAATCCGTCGTACGTTGGCTCGGAGTGGTCCAGAAACAGTTACAGTTCAATTGTATGGCAGCCGAAAATTGGCCAAAAGCCCGTTCCCGTTCAGACTGTACAGACTGAGCGTCCGAAGAATGAGTACAAGTCAGTCCAAGCTGAAGAGGCCACAAAGAAGCAGACATCGGTTGCCATTGGCGATGCCAACATCGACACTCACGCCAACGTCGATGTCGAAAAAAAGTGGCTAGCCAAGGACTATAAGGTCTTTAAACCAACCGGCAGATACAACTTTGGTACTCCCCAGACCAATCATATTAGTTCCTTGCCCAATGATATTTCAACACCTGCCTATGGTATGCGAATCTAGTCAGCTATCGATTATAGTCCCAATTATTATTCTCAATCTCTTTGCTTTTAGGCATTTAAGAAGTCTGCTTATCAAGAGAAATCACAATTAATTTCTAGTATTATATATGTGTATATATATATACATATATATGTGTATGCCATGCAATGTACAAGTCGATCTATTTGCTAAATGTATGTGAAATACATACCATATTTTATCCAAAATAATGTCCAATATGAATTTCAACAGCACACATCTATAAACAAATATATATATATACATATAGTAACTAATACTGTAAAGAAGGAGACTCTTATGTGTTTGGTAAAATAATGTTTTCTATTTATATTTATGGATAACTTAACGTGTCCAGCTCATAAATAAAAACGTTTACACTTTTTGTAGACTTTTCATCGCAAAGTTCTATATTTCTCTTTCTCACTTTATTTCAAACAAAATTTCTTTAATTATTTTTTAATGTGTAATGTTTTATACCCGGTATAAAACGCACCACTGAATTGTATTTGTAGATTTAAACGAATTGTGATTTGTTTTGTTTAATGGATTTTTATGAGTGTTACTTCATTTTTTTTTTAATTCATATATTTTTGTTTTTATAATTAAAATTATGCAAACAAAGTCGTTTGCCTTTGTTGTGCGCATCAATTTCAGTTTAAATGCCAACTTCATGCGGTTTTCAAACATAAATAAAATTCAAAATAAATATTCAACTAAATACAAAAATCGTTTTCTTTTTTGTTAAAAAATAAATGGGTTTTATTTGCTGCAGAAAACATATTTCGCTTCTTATTTTGTTTTTTTTTTGTTGGTGTTCATCTTGAGTTTTGAGTACGAGTTTTTATTGATTATTTGGAACTAGTGGGCAAGCTGACCAGAAAACTTTGCTTAACTCATAAATATATTATATTGTTTTGTGATTTTTATGCTTCATATTTCGATGGCGATTCCTTAGTATTGCATTCTTCTAGGACTGCTTAATACGGTTATAGAGTACAAAGTTAAATTATGACAATCAGTTTTCAAAGACTTTTCTGGTAAGCATACCCGATTTTTCGATTTTTCATTTGTTTTTAGCTTTACAACTATTCGTAATTGTATACCTATAAATTAAATTAGAATTATTCTTGCTTTTTATTTTTACAAACTGTTTTTTTTTTTGTTTTCATTGTTGCATTACTTAGAAATGAGCATGAACGATATTTGCATATATCGCTTTATATATTTAATTTATTTTGCTTTTGTTTCATTTTCTGCCGTTATTTTGCAAGCACTTTTAACACTGTTTTTGAGCTAAGGTTTGAACACTAACATTTTGTTAAATTTAAAAATGTTCTATAAATTGCTTTAAGCCCCGTTAACAGTGCCAACGTTACTTCATGGTGCACTAAAACATAATAATAAACAAAAACCAAAAATAATAATAAGCTATATGATTTAGTTATAGCGCAGTTAGCGGCGCCGCACAATTTAAACAAAAATGATATGTTTGAAGCTAAACGAAAATTTAAATTTACTAATCGAGTTGTAAACAATGTAAATATATTAAATATTTTTTTTGCATATACAAATTAATATTATAAATAATTACTTAGACGTGAAGTGTTTATATGGTATGAAAGTAATTTTCAGTTTCTGTTGCTGCAGGCATGTTTCTTTGTTTTCTTTTTCTTTTTTGTTTGAAGGTCTAAAAGTTAACATTACAATTTATAAGTTTTCGTGTATATAAATGTATATATATTTATCATCTCTTGTTAGATATATATGCTTGCTTTACCTTGAGAAATTTTTTTTAGTAGCTTGAGTTCTTACACTGTTCTTTCTTACTTTTTTTTTGCTTTATATAGATTTTATTTAAAAAATATGTACTAAATTTTATAGTTCACAACTGTGTTGGAAAACACCAAATCGTTTAAGTTACTTTGACTTAGTTTGGTTTACGAACTTGAAATTCAAGTGAAAGACCCGGCGCTAACCGCCGATTATACACGCTACGGCACCGCATTTCCCATTAAATTTTTCAACAATTTCCTCTTTCCACATTTATATAGACTAGCTAGGTTTTACATGCTGGCAAAATAAACTGATCTGTGTGAGTGAGTGTGTGTATAGGAGCAGGGAGGGGAGAGGCGTAAAAATGCGGCGACGTCCACGTTGCTGCGCTGCTTTATATGAACTTAAGTCTGAGTGTTTCTTGTTGTTGTTGAGGTCTTCTGCTACACATAAATTTTAGTTGAGTGTTTCTCCGAATCGCTTTTACATAATTTCTTGTTTCTTTTTTTTTTGATTTTCTTTATATTATGTTTTTAAGTCTTTATTTTGCTTTTTTTATTACATTTTTTAAAAAGTATTTTCCTTTTTTTGTTGTTTTTTTCTTGTTTGCTTTTTGTAATTGTTTAGTGGTTTTTTAGCTAAGTTTTATCTTTTTTTTAAGTTTTTAATTGTAATGATTCGCATTTAATTTAATTTAATTTATTAAGTGCTTAAGTAATTTGTAATAAAATCAAAACAAACAAAAACATGCGCTTTTGAATTTCTTCTCTTTTTATAGCATTTCTCTTGTTAACTTATAGTTAAAATTTTGAAAATCAAGAATTTAAACGATACTTGAAAGTTAAAGTTTACATTTACACTAAGATCTGTGACACTGTGTGAGTGTGTGAGTTAGTTGTTCATATGTGTATGCGTGAGTGTCAGTGAGAGTGTGTGTGCGTGCGTGTGTGTGTGTGTTCGAATGCAGATGTATGCAAGTATTTGTGATGGGATGCATGTTTTGACTTATAATAGACATGTTGACGCGATCGTTTTTATATATATATATATATTTTTTAAGTTTTTAATTTTTATGGAGGGCGTGCTGCAGCTTGTTTTGGTTTTTAGATTAGATTTACAACAAAAATTTGCACAGAAATTTGCTTTTTGGCACGAGCTGGCTAATGAAAGGGGGGAAAAAGGAAAACAAACTTCACAAAAGCAAGCTTAATTAAAGGACGATCCAATTGCATAAATAATGTTCATTGCAGCACGATGCCTGCTCCATTGGTTGCCATCGTTGTTGCTGTTAACGCTCGCGGGAGCATTGTTAACATGAAGACAATTCGTTAATATATTTTATCCTTTGCGTTGAATGCTGTTGCTGCTGCTGATTGTGTTTGGTGGATGTCAGTGTGTGCGTGTGTGTGTATGTGTGTGTGGATGTGTGTGTTGATGATAGTAATTGATTGTTTGCATTATGGAAGAAATCGATGCTCTGACGTTGGGTTGTTGTTGTTGCTGTTGTTATTGTTGGTATATTTCTTATGTGGCGGCCATCAAATGCATGACCAACCAGTGCAGATTTTGCTCTGCATTTTAACGGCGTCCATAATTACCGCCACCGCCTGTCTGTCCATTGCCGGCACCGCGCAGCGGTCCGTTGGACTGATTGCCACCACCACCACCGCTACGATTGTCATTGCGCTGTCCAAAGCTAGCGCCATTATTGCCGCCCATGCGGGGTCCATTGTTGCCGCCACCAGTGCGCATATTATTGCGGCCCATATTATTCATATTGTTGCCGCCAATCGGCTGACGGGGTGGCATGTCATTGCGCATGCGTGGTTTCTTCTCCTCCACGTTCAGTTTCTGGCCGTCAGCTGAGTTTTCCGGGAAGTACAGGGGCTGCAAGTGAATTTTTAAGATTGTTAGAAATATAATATAAATGACATGCTATTCGAGCTCTATCTCTACATACGCAATTGGCCAGGCACTTTTGTACCGCCTCGGAATCATCGTAGGTGATAAAACCATAGTTTAGTGGACTGCGCATGCCCGGCAACATCTTGCTATTGACTTTCGATAGAATACGCAAGTCAATGACATTGCCGAAGCGCGCAAATAGCTGACGCAGCTCTTCCTCAGAGGCATGATGTGGAATATTGCCCAAAAAGAGCTGCTGATTGTCGCCAAATTGTTGTGCGTTGCTTGGACGACGTTGCTCAAATTCTGTAAACATAAGGTAACAATATAAGTAAATGCATTTTAATTATTCATTTACGACTCACCTTTGTTCCTAATTGAATTATTGCGCTGCGGCAGTGGACCACCATTGTCTAAGCGAGAGTTGCTGTTGGTATTGTAGGAGGAAGATGCGGTTGTTGAATAACTGGCCTGACCGCCACTGCCGCCGCCAGACGAAGATGATGTGTAGACAGTGCTCTGTGTTTGTTGCTGCTGCTGCTGCTGTTGTTGCTGCTGGAGCTGCTGTTGTTGCTGTAGTGCGGCATTTACGAAACCGCTGGGCGAAGACGAAGTAGACTTGAACAGATTAGCATAGGTCTTCGGCTCGTTCTGCTGCTGCTTGGCGGCCTCGTATTTCTCCTGTTGCTGCTGCTCATGTATGGTCTTGAAATCCTCCACTGGAGTTGTTGCCCTTTGCAAGTGGCTCACCTTTGCATCATTGGTGATTGGCTCCTCCGGTTCCAAAGGCTGTTGCATAGCCTGCGGCGGTTGCTGCTGCTGTTGTTGATGCTGTTGTGCTATTAGCTGGGGTGGCCCCGAAACGAGCGGCGAGTGCTGGAAGGCTGCAGCTGGCTGCACTGGCACTGGCTGCACAATGCCAACGTTGGACGGCATCACGGGTCCACTCTGCTGCTGTTGTACCAAAGGCGACACATTGGCCTGAACCAAGGCCTGAGGTGGTCCTTGCTGCTGTGGCAATTCATCATGTGGCACAACTCCGTTCTGGATTGGCGGCGGCGGGTTGGTGAATTGCGCGGGCAACGGCACCGCTGCAGCTTGTGGTGCAGCTGGTAATACGGCCACAGCTCGTCCAGTAGCAGCTCCCGCTGGCAGTGGATAAAACAATTGCTGCGGCGCTCCAGCAGCTCCGCCAGCGGCAGCAACTGGAACAACTGGTTGTGGCAATACCACTTGAGTGGACAGCTGCTGCGGCTGTTGAGCGGCGTCACCTACAACCTGGACGGCCTGGTCAACCACCTGGACCTGAACGTCATGGTCCTCATCGTTTTCGGAACGCGATTCGCCATCTTGCTCATCCTCGATGTATAAATCCTGATAGCGAAAGATATCATTGTGCACATAGTACTTCTTCGGGGATTGGGCTGCCAGGACAAATGTCTGAGTGAAGCGACGCATCGGTTGGCCATCGTTGGACAGCTCTCCAGTGACTTGGACCACAACGCCATTGCCGAGCGTTGCCTGGGCATCCACTTGACTGATCTTAGCATGACAATCGTTGAAGTTCAATTGCTGTATGCGATTGTGTATCTCACGTTGACCCACAACCAAAGTCGATTCACCATGTATAAAAGACGAGTTATTGTTGTAAAAGCGATGCAAATGATTGGGTGCCTTATTCAACAGCGTGTAATACTGACGCACAAATTCGCGTCCCACCGATTGTGGCGAAGGCTGTTGCGATTGAGTCGCATCCATGACCATTGCTAGAGTTCCAAGCGTTTGGCTAAGCGGCTAAGTTTAGTCCCAGTAAGAGCGAGATTAAGAATTTACTGTTCTTGCCGAGATGAATTTTATTTAGTCTGTAAAACAATATATATAAATATATTTATATATATATATTTAATATATAAATACATTTATGTATTTATAAAAAAAATTTTATTATTAACAAGTCGAGAGTTATTTAGAAATCAAAGTCTGCTTAGTTGCTGAACAAAACAAAAAAAATACCAAAAATTTATTTTTCAGTTTAGCTCTAAGCTATATTTTCTTTTTTATTGACATTCTTAATTTTCGTATGTAGTGCAATAACAGTAAATGTAGTGACTGAAGATAGGCAACACTGATTGTTACATTTACAGGTAATGCTATACAAGCGGTCACAGAAATAAGTTAAAAGAAAACGCGTATAAGGAGCCCAAAATTGTACTGCAGCGCAGACAAAAAGATTCAATGCAGTTGCAGTTTGACCCACTTTCGTTCCAAGCATGAACTCACACACAAGCATACTCATACACATACACGGTTATACGGCCCACAGAAAACGCATAAATGCGAAAATTTCGTACATACTCCAAAACAAGACAAAATGCAGCTGTCACTGTCATTATTTTTGTTATTATTATGATTCGTACTTAACAGAGCATTTCATATTCTTACACGTTAACAAAAATTAAAGGACCAAATTGTATTTATTTTTAAAGTAAATGACCTCATACACGGCAAAACAACAACAATGCTACCAGAGGCGCAGCAATGGGAACGTGAGCTGTGTAAACTAGTTTTAGGTTATGTTTGCGCTTCAAGGTTGCTTCACAGCCGAGGCTAGGACATTTTTGGTGAACATGTTCGTGCACGTGCGCGAGTCTCCTGCGTTTTTGCACAGGTAGCTGCTGTTTCATTGAACTCTAGAATTGAAGACAAATACTGGCTACCTACGCTGCCAGCTGCGATTTCGCAACAAAGGCCAACCGCAAAAAAAAAAAAAAATTAAAATTAATAAGACTCAGAAACAAATCTCAGAAACTACAACGATGCGTGTAGGTGGGAGGTAAGGAACAGATTGCAGCAAACTTAAATTTTAACAAAATTGATAAATCTTACAAAAAATGACCAGCCAACAAAACGCGCACACACGCGCACACAAAAAAGCACCGCCAAATATGCGTTGGGCTGTATGCGTAAACCGCGTGTGTGGGTCCGAACAAAGAAAGCAATAAAAAAGAGCAATATTTAAACAAACTTACAAAAACAAATGAGCGCAGACAGTTTTAGGTTATGACTCCAAAAAACAGAAGTGATAAAAATGCCGCTAAGACGAAAATGAATATACCGGCAGTAAAAAAAAAACTCGAACGTCGTTCTATTTTTTGTATATGCTAGTCACTCAGTCGCTTCATTTAATTTTTGCCACCCCACCTGAAATTGGTATTTTTTTTCTACGCGTAACTATGTAAATGTGCGGCAGCATGTGGCAAACGCCGGCAGTTGGTACTCACCTTAGCAGTTGCTTGATGTCGGTTTCTAATGCACAATGTTATTGCTTATGTGTTTTATGAGGTTGTATTTTTGCTTTTCGCTGGTATACTCCGAAGCACAGGTTTTACGTTTATTTTTTTTTTTTTTTGCTTTTGGTGTACGGAGTTTGCAGCCTAATTTGAAATTTGAGAAATGCTGAAATATATATATGTATCTTTATTTGAAAATTTAGTTTATACTGTTATTTATTATTTATGTGAAGATACACAGACACACGGAAACATACACACTCACACGCGAAGCTTGTTGGTTTGGAGCAGCCGCTTTATTCTGCTTCTTCCTTTGCCGTCGTCTGCTTTGTTGCAATTTTTTGTTCAAAAATTACAAATTTGGCAATTCTTTTTGCACATTACTTGCTTGTTACTTTTGTTGTTGGCAATCACAGTTAAAATATTAAGTTTGAATGCGTTATTTTTGTTTAATTTATATAAAAAAGAATCGCAAACGCAATGAAATTTAACAAGTGTTGAATTAAGAAGAGAACCGACGTTTATTCGTTCCTCTTTTTCAGTTTTATTCTCGGTGCATTTGCGTTTGTGTATGTGCGCTTTTATGATGGCGGCGATGTCGTGTATTCCAGTGTGACCGAAAATTGCGATTGCAACATAACCAAGCATTCAAAAGATACCGAAAATACTATGGACTATTAAAATTTAAAATTATTACGTCCTTTAATTAAACTATAATATGAATAATATCTGAAAACTATAAATTTTGATTTTTAAGCTAATAGACTACTCGATTTTAAAAATTTTGAGTATAGGGTATTCTTTTCTCTGTAAATCGTGACATATCGCGTTGCCGGACAGTCTAAAGTTTTTGAGAAATACTCGGCATTACATTTATTTGTATGCTGTTTAAGTTGATAAAAAAGCCATGAAATATAATTGTATTTTCATCATTTGCGTTATTGGGTACTGAAATAAGAAGAATAAAAATATCGGAAGGATAAATTTAATTTCGAACTAACAAATTTATGAACTGTGTGGCAACGCCTGTACCATATACACACGCTGTCGCTGGATTTGTCATTTTCCGGTCGTCAGCGTTCGCGCGAGTTTTGGCGAGTGTGCTAAGAAAAAGATTGCTGAAAATCGCTAAATAGTGCTATTTAATTAAGTTTTAATTGACAATAGAATACACATACACACCACCAATCAAAATGGCAGACAAACAAGTCGATAGCGAAATGAATGGCGAAGATTTCACCAAGGATGTTACCACCAATGATGTGGCGAGCTCTGAAAATGGTGATTCGACTCCCGCTGCCGGCGCTGCAAATGGCAGTTCTGAAAATACAGCCGCTGCGGGTAACCAGCGTGATGACGACAGGTATTTTAAGTAAAATATTTGACTTTCAATTCGGTCGGTAGCCAGACACCCTCAAGTGTATAAAAATCATGTGCCTAAAAAATTTTTTTCATTACCACCTCTTTGTTGTTACGTAAATGCAAAGCTAACGTCGTCGTCGAGTGTAAAAAATGGTGTTCGACGTAGCGGCGGCAGCAGCGGCGGGAGTTAGCGCGCCGCTGACGCTGACCCCTTCAGTATTTGCGCGCGTGTCTGTGTGTGACTGTACTTCGCGCACAACAGCCCGTCCAACAAAACATACATAGTTATAATAATAGAAGCTGTCGGAAAATTTTTGATTGCCTGTTTTTAGCAAGATATTAATTTGACAGATCTGAATGTATGATGCGTATTTCAATTACGTTTTATTTATTATTGCTATATTTACATTGATGTATATGTATGTACATATATATTCGGAACTATGTGTGTCTTTACTATATCAATGATTGTAATTGTATTTGCAGTTGAAACAAAAGCACAAATATTCCAGTCCCAACAAAGACAATTCAAGCACATTTCCCCCAGTTGTGAGGTTATGTTCACCAGACACATATTCATACATACCTAGGTACATATATACATGTATCTATGGATGTGTATATGTGTATTAATACAGAGAAAAACGCAACGCGTGTGCTATTCCCTCCTTCAATCCCCACGTTTGCCCCACAACTGCCTGCCTTTCACTTTGTTTGTATTCGTAAAATTTTTTTGCATTATTTTATGCCGCCATTCGTTGATATTTTTTGTTCGTTCGTTTTCGTGCTCTTCCAGTTTTGTACCCAAAATGGCGGTTTTTGTGTTTGCTTCGCGGCGCGACTTACTGCGTGCGTATGTATGTGTGTATGTATGTATGCAGTTTCTTCTTTCGTTTTCTCAACATTCATTCCGTTTTGCTTGCCGGCTTCGCGCTCTGTTGCTGAGGCAGTCGCTATGCCGGCAGTGTTGTCAAGGCAATTCAAAAATGATTTCAATATAAGTTATTTGCTCGCTTAGATAATAATTTGTTTTTGTTAATAAACAATCGAAATCCATAGATATTCAATAATAATCCTGTAGGTTGAGCCTTTTCTATTTTTTATTCAGTTCAATTGATTTAGGTCGAGTTTTAACTGTGTTATCTAATTGCATATTAATTGTTAAGTTAATTTTAAGTCGCAGTCAACCAGTTGTACAGTAAAGATAAAAATTAAATTAAATGGAAGCAGCATAAAGCAGATGGAGCCATATCGAGTACGATAAACAAAAAATACAAATAAATCCAAAAACAATTCATAGCTTATCCTGTTGTGTTTGAGCGAACTAACCTTGTTCCTCTCCGGCAGGTCTTGAGAGAAGTTAAAAGCCATGTTAAGCTATTCTCAAGCAGCCGTGGCCCAATGGAATTTACCCAAAGGATGCAGCGTGTGCAACGGATGCCGGCAATGTTGATGATGGTATTTATCTAACCAAAATAATACAAAAAAACCAAAACTTTGTACACACAAAATTATCAACAAATTATCTCGAGTTCTCAATTGGATCCTAAATAATATATTATATATCTCTATATATATATATATATGAAAGTATAATGCATTTTATTGTTTACCAAAAATTAAAGAGAAAGACAGAGAGAAAGAGAGAGAGACTCGCATTTTTTGTTTGTTTTTGCCTACTTAAAGAAGCGCATCTGATGAACGTAACGTAACGATAATGATAACGATAACGATCACGACCCTACATATACCGAATTGCAACCGATAACGAGTCTAATAACGTTTCATATAATGCCTACACGCGATTACCGTCTAACTTTTCCACACTCTAAATTCCGCCGCCGTGATGAGATTGTTCCAAATTGCATTACCTTCCCCTGCAGTGATATTTTCTAATCTTTATGAGTAACGTACGCCAAGAATATTTTAAGTGTATCAATAAAAGTTATTTTTTTCTTAAATTTAGTTCAAATAAAGCAATTGCATAAATTTAAAAGCAGCATAAAAATCCTTGCATTTTCTCATATTTAGAAATAAAATTTTTTAAAAATGTATTAAAAAAAAAAAACAAAAAACAAAAAAACCGATATTTTTATACTAAAACTAAAAGTTCACTCTGCATATATTTATATATATACACATATTCGCCCGTTTTGTGACTCTACTCCCTCGCCGTATCTTTCGCTCAGTTTTTCGATGCACATTTTCGAATCTTGATTGAAAGTTTATTAATTAAAGTACAGTAATTATAAGCTCTATATTCACTTTGAATTTGGTGAGTTTATTTTCTTTATTTTTTCCGTTTTGTACACTTGCTCCGTCTTTAATCTATTTGCAGCTAATAACAAAAGTAAATCGTAAGAAAAAACATGTAAAGTAACGTTTTTGTGAGCGCCAAATGTGTGGGCAGAAAGCAAATTCAAAATATTTCAGATATGTGCATACACAAATTTTCCACACTCAAAAATAAGAATAAACGTTTTTGTCGTGCCATTTTTTCAGACTATGAAACCAGAGTTTTCTATGTAGCAATTATATATATATAATTTTGTAAAAGCTTTTGTTATTAATAATTTAACTAATCAACAACTTCTCCGTCAACTTTCGCAGGAAACTATTTGTTGGTGGCCTCAGTTGGGAAACGACTGAGAGTAAGTAGATATTTTATTGTCCTTGAAAAATACTTGAAATAAATATCCATTTCATTTCACAGAGGAATTGCGCGATCACTTTGGAAAATTCGGTGAGATCGAAAGCATCAATGTAAAGACAGATCCTCAAACAGGCAGATCACGCGGTTTCGCCTTCATTGTGTTCACAAACACAGAGGCAATTGATCAAGTCAGCGCCGCTGAGGAGCACATCATCAACAGCAAGAAAGTTGATCCCAAAAAGGCGAAGGCTCGCCATGGCAAGATATTTGTCGGTGGCCTGACCACAGAGATTAGTGACGAGGAAATCAAAACCTACTTCAGTCAGTTTGGAAATGTATGTGTGTTTGCAAATTTAGAGATATAGAACAATACTTATTTGGCTTGACTTTTTTATAGATTGTTGAAGTGGAGATGCCTTTCGACAAGCAAAAGTCACACCGCAAGGGCTTCTGTTTCATTACCTTCGATTCGGAACAGGTGGTTATCGATTTACTGAAAACGCCCAAACAGAAGATCTCTGGCAAAGAAGTTGATGTGAAGCGCGCGACACCAAAACCTGAGAATCAAATGATGGCCATGCGTGGTGGTGCGCGAGGTGGCATGCGAGGTGGTCGAGGCGGATACGGACGTGGTGGTCAGTATTATAGTAATTTTCGTAATTTTTGAAATCCATCAACAATTCACGTTTTCATAATAATATAGGTTATTCCCATCAATGGGATGGCCAGGGTTCGTATTCGGGCTATGGCGGCTATGGCGGTTATGGTTCCGGTGGCTTTGCCGATTACTATACCGGTGGCTACTATAATGGATATGACTATGGTTATGGTAAATACAACAAACAACATAATAATGCTCATAACAATTATTACAATAACACAACGTCAAGTAATTATCATCAAAACAAGAACAATAGCAACAACTATCAGCAGTTTTAATATAGCCAAATGCAGGCAGCAAACAATGCAAAAACAAAAACAAAATCAAAATCAAACAAACAACAACTACAACAATAAACAGAAATGCCATTAATCAACATTTTGAAACAAATTTCCCTTCTACCATACATAAACAAAATTATATATATTTATACATTGTTGTTTGCCGTTAGCAAAAGAGACAAGAAACAAAACGGAGAGAAAAACAAAAACAAAAACGTTTTGCTGCATTTCTAAATAAGAACTTAGAAACACAAGAACATCCAACAACAAAACAACGTCGCTAAAAACAAGAAAACTTTTTAATTACAAATATAAATAATAAAAAAATATACAACATATTTTTAATGCCTAATTATAAATTTTAAAATCATTTTTAAAATTGCAAGTATATGTTGATAAACATAATTTTATATACATTCAAATCAATAATTTTATCAATATGAGTTCATACTACAATTATTTTTAAAATCTATAAAAAAATGCATATTTAAATTTTTAAAAGTCTTAAAGCATAATTTTAAAACAAGAATTAATTGAAAAGCTATATATTTTTCAACAAATTTAAAATCAAATACGATTTACTAGTGGTTTAGCATTTAAATATTATATAAAACTGACGAAGCGTGTGTATTAATGATTGTGTTGTTTAAGGAGCAAAAACGAAAGTTAGAGAGACGTAGCGAGAAAGATAGAGAAAGAGAGAAAGAACGGAGAACTAAAAGTAGACGGGAATGTTCATACCCTACACTTTGTAATTATTGTATACCAGACCAGACCAACAGGAACAACAAACAAAATTAAGAACATCAACAACAACAAAAACAACAATGTGTGCGGCCGCCAGAGGTCGCTTTCAACAGACTTTCCAAAGATAACAAATACCTCAAACGCGAAGGCAGCAGCAACAACAATTAGAAATGAAGACAACAATCAGATTAAAACCTTAAACTAAACAACAAACAAACGAACACATAAACAAGATCATGTGCCAATTATGTGAAACAGTGTGAATCGCCAGCGTTTTGGCCTTTTGCATAATTGCAACTTGTGCCTTTTATTATTGTTAACTAACTGTTATTGTTTGAACAAACTGAAACCAAAAGCTGTTGACACACTCAATATAGGTATCACACACACAAACACACCACATACCCACACCCAACACATAAATACACACACACACACACACACTCACATTCAATCACTCATATTTATATTTATATATAAATGTGATGATCACATTACTCCATTCTCCCCGTTATCTTTATAATAGTTATTTAAATAGTTTTTCCATTTTGTTTTGTTGAACAAAACGCTAAACAAACGAAAAGAAAGAAGGAAACAAAACAACACATAAACAAACAAACAAACGAAACGTGTAATCAAAGCTTTGATTCAACTTCTATTTAAAATATATATATACCTATATATAGCATATAAATATATTTTTAGATGTATATTATTATTATTTCGGCAACGAGATAATATCTACGTTTTTGCAATGCATATGTTTTCGTATGCGCACGTCAATACACTATATATGTATATATTTATATATATATAAATAAATATATATATATATTTGTATATATATAAACAAAAATATACAAATGTTGTATGTATATTTATGCATAATGATCACATTTTTACAAATGGGTACTATTTTTGATAGTATTATTTTAAGGCAAATCCTTGTAAAAACAACAAACGACAACAACATTAACAAACACGCAAAAGCAACGAGACGTCAGCCAACTTTGAATTAGAAGTGGGCGTGGACTTGGGCCTTTGGCTTAAGCAACTGATTAAATCAATGGCTTAACCCAAATCCCACGCCACGCCCACATTTCGCACTGACGGCAATTTGGTTGGTTGGCCAATCATTCTTTTATTTGCTTTATTTGCATTTCTGCTTTTTGCTTTCTTGACCAAACAAACATGCATTTGCTGACAAGAAGAGAACGAGAGTCCAAGAGTAAGAGAACATTATAAACGTACAATGTAACAACTTGTAAACAAACAACTGATGAAACAAAAAAACACATTACATTTACATACTTTGATTTGAAATGTAACGAGCGCACGCACAATGCGGCATTTGTTGATAACCAACAACAACAGACATCATCAACAACAACAACTAGAGCGACAACTATACAAACACAAACTAAACGATACCAACAAGAACAACAACTATAACAACATCAATTGAAAACAACTACATCAATGATAGTGATTAAATACAAAACAGTAAAACAAACACACTTCGTCAATTTTAGTAATTTTAATTAATAAATTTAGATAAATATTAATTTTTCTTATTGTTCTTTTTTTAAAGTATTAAGTACAATAAACTCACACAATTACACGCTTTCAACAAGCACACATACACACACATACACAAACACATACATAAATATTTACATATATCTCGTATGTTAAATTTTGAATGTGAAATTCAGTCCAATCAACTTTTAAAACTTTTGTCAATAGAAACCATTCAATTTGACGTATCACAATCACATGTGTATACATATATGCATATTAATATGTATGTATATATATATATATTTTACAAACCGAAAAAAAATAAGATATGCATAAACTTGAGTAAATTATTTTAAAATTTGCATGTTTCTCAATGTTTTTAGCTAGTTGTCTATACAAAATCAAAACAAAAAATATAAAAAAAAAAATATAAGAAAAAAAATAACAAAATTAAAAATTTACAAAAAAAATATACATATATGATTATTATAATATCACATTTATCTTACAAATTTATATTTATGCTATATTTTATAAACCAATTATGCTGATTCGTAATCATATAACAATGTTTTACTGTGCAAACAAGTTCTTTTTTTATACAAACAAAATACTTTTTGTATATTTTATAGCAATAATTATGTGCCCACTTTATATTAAAACTATAACTACAATATATACATAATTTTCTTTTTATAATTTCTCAACTAACCTATCACCAACAAAAAAAACAACAAATAGAATTACTTGACCGTTGGGGGTCATAACAGAGTGCGAGCGTTGTTAACATAACCTAAACTGTTAATACAATAGAAGCAAATGTTAACATAGCAGTTGCCAAATGTTATGGGCCCCAACAGCAGTTCTTACAGTTTAAACGTTAGAAGAGAAAAAAATTGTACTATTTTTATTAACTCTAAATATTGTTACTTTTTTAATTATGATTTTTGAACTTAACGTGTTATATATTTACATTTTACAATATATCTATTGTAATGCCGAATTTTCCGATGTTTCGCCTCACAAAAAACCACAAAAAATATAAGAAAGAAAGATAAATCACTTTTAAAATGAGAGTAAAATTCAAAACAAACAACAACCGACTATTACCACCCAAGCAAATATCCAAAAACGGTCTTGACCAATTTTCCAATTTTCGTAACAGTTGCCGATTAACGGTTAACGGTTAATGGTTGCCGGTTACCGGCTAATGGCTAACGGGTCTCTGGTGTTTCGTCTGTCCTCTGTGTCTGTGCAATTCACTACGCAATATCAAGAGTATCCACAAAACGAGACACAGACACCACAGCAGTTGCAAACAGCCAACAACCACCGAGCACCAAGAACCAAGTACCAAAACAAACAACGACTACACAAAACAATTATTTCATTTCGCTTAAATGTAACGTATATTTTTTTCTTATTTACTCCTTTTTATTAAATTTAAAGGTTATATATTTACAAGTAATTTAGCGTAATTAATATCTGTTTTTAGTCAATGAATTGAAAAATCTAAAAAAAAAATAATAATAATAATGATATACATTTAAAGTAATTTTAACAATACTTGGAAAGAAGTTTTCTGAAAATCTTTTAAGAATATAAACAGTTTTCTTGTTTTTAACAACAAAAATACAACACTAAGAGTAAATTATAACAATACCAATATTAACTCGTATAAAGTCAAATTTGCTGACAATTTGCATTTGTTTTTGTTTTTCGCAAGACGTTTTTTACAATACTAAAATTTTGCGACACGTCCCACACGAACTTCCCCTTTCCACCCGAACCCGAGTCCCAAATCCTCTTGAAAAGAAAGAACTACAAAGAAAAAGAAACGAAATGAAAGAAAAAAATGATTATAAATATAAAAATATTTGATTACTTTTTGCTGAGGTGAGACATTCAAACACACACACACAAGAGCAGCAGATTTATTCAGTTTATTTTTTGGCCATTCAAATGAAACTTTTTTCAAAAAACCAAATTTTCGGAAATTTTTTAACGAAAAGTAAAACTAAAAATTGAAATGCTGAAATTGTTGTGTGGAAAATGAGGTAAAAACAAAAATACAAATAAAATTAGAACATAAAATGCATAAAGAGTGCGTCAGAATGAGAAATGAATTGCAATACATTGTGAAACATGTTTATAAGTCACGAGTGAACAACTAACTAACAAATATACCCAGAGACAGCAGCAATTTAAGAGATATAACAACATCTGAAATTACAACAACGACAACAACACCAACAAAATCGTACCGCGCATGTATGTGTGAGCGCCGTGTTGCGCCTGTTTTTTTCTCCACACTCAAGTGAGGGAGGTAACTAGATAGAAGAAGACGAACAACAACAAGAAGACAGAAATGTGTTTTAAAATTTAAACATTTTTTGTAATGCCTGTGCAAAAGTAAGCAACAACACCAACAACGACAACAAACAACATCAGCAGCAGGAAGAGCAGCCGCAGCCGCAGCCGCAGCAGTAGCCGCAGCAGCAGCCGCATCAGTCGCAACAGCAAGATCAACAAGATTAGATCATAATTTATACATTGATCTACAGTAGCAATCATTTAACAGCCAATCAATCTTATAATCAAAATCCGCAAATCGAGAAATGAGCAAATAAAAGAAAAAAACTAAAAAATTGTGTGTTTTCAGTGGAATTCCTTTTCCAGCTCTCTGGTGTGCATTTGAATTGTCTCGCCTCGGCGCGGTGTCGCCACGAACAGCGAAACCCAAAACCATCCCCACCCACCCTACTACGACCCCACTCCCACTTTCTAAAGAAATTTTGACCAAAACCAAGCAAAACCCATTTGTAGAAATTTCAATACATATTACATACAATTTTTTTTAATCTAAGCCTTGTTTGTGCTCATGATCTACAACAAAACTTTTGTGTTTTAAACCCCTTAAAAAAAAAAATAAAACAAAACAAAATGAAAAAATCAATATCCAAACTCTGATCTATATAAACAAAGACTATGGTTATGGCGGCGGCTTTGATGGTGGCTTTGGCGGTAATGGCTACGGGAGCGGCGGCGGCGCTGGCGGGCGCGGTGCCGGAGGTCCGCGCGGCGGTCCCAAAGGTATGCCACAATACATGGCCGTAAAAATACAAAAAAAAATTAAATAAAATTCCAAAAAAAAAAAACAAACCCACAGTTAAATTTGGTTGTCTCCCATCCATTTTATCTATTTTTTTCATGTACAAACTATCCCAGCCTCTTGTTACTATTTATAACTGAGCATTTTTTTTTTTTTTGTAATTTAACTAATCTTTCCTTGTCTTTTATTTCGAGCATCCTCCATTTGGAGCCCAAATTCTGTTACTAGACATTGTTTATCCTTAGATTTGGTCAAAATTTTCATCAGTCGCTTGAACCGTTTGGCGTTGTAGTAAATCCTAAAACCAAAAGCAAAGTGAACAACAAATTTCCCAGCAGCTGTGCATGCTTTATACACTCAGTATTAATTGCCAATTGACAAATGAAATTCTAATCATTTATGTTCAATCTTCGAAAACAGGCGGCGGTGGCGGCGGCTTCAATGGTGGCAAACAGCGCGGCACTGGACGCCAGCCACGACATCAGCCCTACTAATCGGGCCGTTTGGGAGTCCGACATATACTTATAACTGCAAACTATTTGAATTTTACTTAGTTTAGTTTGTTATGGTGAGAAACTTTGAGATTTGCTAAGTGAAACTCATTGTAATTGTTTTCCTCTTGAACAGCATACAACAAAAACAACAAGGAAAACAACACAGCAACACACATACATATACTTTCGCATACGCATCCATACACTTCTATAAAGCGACTGCTGGGCAGACCTCATATTATGGCATAATGCAGTCTAGAGGAGCAGACATACAACAACCATACACACGTGTTGTGTAGTACCATTCCAACAACAACAACTAAAACAACTAAAGCAGAAGCGGCAACTACAACACGTCTAAGAAGCAACGCATCATTTATATAATATATATATATATACCATATACACACTGAAAGAGAGAGAAAAAATATACAACATAGAGTTAGGCTTGGAGAAATGTAATTTTTCAGCAAGTGGCTAATTTTTCATAGCCACACGCTCGTTAAGCCAGCATTGCCCACCAAGAGAACCCACACTGTACCACATAACATTATGCCACACCCACTTGTTCTGTGTGTGTGTGGGTGCGTGTGTGTGTGTGGGGTCAAACTAATTTGTTTTTTTTTTTATGTGTAGTCTCATACATTATGCGAGGTAATTGTTTAACTTGTAAGCAGGGTCAGGCATACACAGAGAGAGAGAGAGCGAGAGAGAGAGAGGGCGAGAGGGAGAGAAAGAGAGAGAGAGAGAGAATTACAACACACACTTGCATACAACACACAAACCTACACACAGATACGAAATTCAAAAATCACATACGGCAACCATGTTTAATAGTAACAGTAAATACATAATATAAAATACAATAGTCGTTAAGTATTTGTTTAAACTTAATTAATTAATAATTGTAATATGTAAATCATAATAATTATTATCATGCAACGCTAGGCAGCTGGCGCTCCTGCGGTGCGGGCGGGCTATCTTTAAAGCGGGCAACCGCCGCACATTGTCCAAGTCCGCTTTCAACTACAACAAACAACAAATCCACCAAATTACAAATAACAAATGATTTTTCCGATATAAATGGTAAACGTTTTTTGTGTATGTATTTGCGCTCATTAATAGTCTATAAAAAGAAATATATATATATATATATATATATATATCTTTATATATATGTAAATTTAAAAAGAGAATTTTATATTTTAATACAAATCTAATGCAGCATGACACCAAGAACAAAGTAAAGAACTATTAAAACTTGCATCAAGCTCTATAATAATAAATAATAATAATAATTATTAAATCCAAGCTGAACTACATAATGTATAGTTTTTCCACGAGACTATTGCAAGCATATTTGTTAAAACTAAATAGGCATATATCTAAATATATATAAATAATACCTACATATAACTCTATACAAATAACTATAGCTATTTAAAAAGAAAACAACAAAACAAAAACCTATTGAACAAATGTTATGCTAAAAACAAACGTCCGTAAGAAGGAAGAAGTAAAGAGAGTCGAATGGGACACAATCGATGTGGGAGGCGTGGCAGCAACGTGTTCAGTCAAAGGATAAGGATATATAAACTTAGCAATAGTAGAATTTTCAGATTTGCTGCATTCTACTTCAGATATTTTTACATCTGCTGCTGCTCTTACAGCAGCAGCTAAACGAGTCAGCCTCAAGTTATAAAGCGAACAAAGCAAATGTTTCATTTCACACTTAATAATAGTTATAGTACATTCTTAAATTGAATAAATATTTATGTTTACTCTTTGGATTTAAATTGACAGGAAAATTCAAGCAACAAGTTTCAATTAAAAAAAAATTTAAAAAAGACAACATTAAATAAACAAGTTTTTATTTAAGTATGAAAACACGCTCAAAGTGAGATTTCGATGCTGAAAGACGCGGGGCGGTAACACGGATACGAAAACTTTGGAAAACCTCAAAAGTACACAGAGAATTTATTAGTAATTACGCTTAACCTGGCCCGTAGCATGGAGCACTTCCAAGATCTTAAGGAACTCGCGATAGTTGAACTCCAAGCAGACTCCGCGCTTCACGGCAAAACACTTCACAATCGACTCGAACTCGCGACTGCTGAGCATATTGTGCATTTCACGTAAGGTGATGGCGCGCAGGAATTGGTTCTGGGTAACCGAACCGCAGCTCTGGCGATCGAAGTCCTTGAACACCTGGCTGAGATTGGAGATCTCATCCGGGCGGCGGGCGAGCTTCATCAGTGCCTGTGAGCAAGAGGTGCGCTCATCAAAGTTGAGGAAACAATCGAAACAGTCCAGGTTTGGCAAGTGCAGCAGCGGCACAGCAGTGACCAGCTTGTCACCCATATTCGTATCGTATTGTATAAAGATCTCATCCAAAGCCTTGCAGAAGTCACGATACAAGATGCAGGCCCTTCGAGACGGCGAACGGAAGCTAGTCGAAAGCAAATAGTTAATTAAAGGCAGGTGTTGTCACATAGGTGTTACTTACACATTGCACAAAATGTTGGCATCTTCCTCGCTGAGTATGACCAAAGCATTGTCCAGGGCGCGCTTAAAGTCGCTCTCCAATATCTCACCCTCGCGATGACGATCGTAGTCCGACAGAAAGTCAAAGACCGAAGCACCCTTGGTTAGAGCCTGTCGCTTGGCGCTGGTCAGGATGCGCGTGATGACCTCTTCGCTGGGCTGTTCGGGCGCCTTGCTGTCGCGTGGGAATGGCGGGCATTCTTGCAGATCCTGTTTGGCAGCCATGGTGGGCATGGCATACTCAGCCGGATCGACATCCTCCAAGAATTTGGTATAGTAAAAGCCCAGCTCATTGCCATAGCGATGCAGCACAGCATCCAGTTCGGCATTTGATAGCAATATGCCATTAATGCGAAAGATTTGATTGGCCTGGTGGCAGTTCACATGACCACTAAATAGTCTGGCGACGCGGAGAAGGCAAGGAATGTGGCTAGCTATCATTAGGCAATCGCTCCATTACTCACTTGTCATAGTTGCGGAAGAACGGATGCAGGTAAAGGCGACGATTACGTATGCGTAGTCGGATTTTGGATATGGCATCCTCGCACAGCTCTCGCACGTCAATTGGTGCCGCCTGCCAGTCCAGGGTACCAGGCCGTGGCATCTCCTTGATGTGAAGCAACGGTGACTCAACCACACATTGCGGCATCTTGTCCAGATTCTTCATGGTAAACACTGGAATGGAGCAGAGTTAGAGATTCGACCAATTGGATTAGATATTATATTCCGATCATACCCGTATCGATCTCATCAACAAAATTGCGCCAGCGTATGCGGTTTGTGTCCACCGGATCCAAGTAGCGTTCCATCACCAAGTCCAGTTCACGTCGCGACAAATATTTGCCCACACCCATGCACGAGAGACCGCGCTCGAACTGATTCTTGGTGATGCTGCCCACCTGCAGCGTATCGAACTTCTCCAGGAACTCACAGGTGCGTATACGATTCTTATATATGTAGTTCTGTATGCAGAAGACAATGTCGCATTCACCGCGATTCTTCTTCGGGTGATTGCACGCATCCGGAAATATGGGATGTATCATTTGACAGCCATTGATCGCTGGCAATTGCGACAGTTCTAGATCGACCAGGCGTCCGGGAAAATTTTCAATCAGATCCTAAATGGAAAGAGTTCACATGTGAGTATGGCACCAGTTGAGACAAAACTTAACTTACTCCCGAGCCATCCAGCAGATTGTGCTGGCGCAAGTAGTCAATGATATTGTCAATGTGCTTGAGAAAGGCCACATAGTTGACCAAATAGCCGTCCTTCATGTAGCGCTTGAGCAAGAGCAAGAAATCGGCCTCCGATAATGGTATCTTCATAAAATGGAGGACGCGTGAGAAGTGCGAGACGGTCACAACGCCCACATGTTGGGATACCTATTAAGGAGTGTTATCTTTAATCTGTCTTTCCTATATGCCAGATGTAATATATATATATTATTGATCAGAAAGATAAGTTGAGTCGATTGTGTTTGTATGTTCGCCTATCCGTTTATACGTTTGTTCGTCCAACCGTTCATTCTTCCGTCAATCCGTTAGTTCATTCGTCCACCCATTCGTCCGTCCGTTCATCCGTCCGTGCGTCTGATCGTGTGTGTGCCCGTCCCTCTGTCTGATTTTCCATCTCTCTGTCCTTCCCTCTGTCTGTCCGGTCGTCCGTCCGTCCTTCATTTCATTTGTCCATTCATCTGTTAATTCATTCCGTCCGTTCGTCCAAACGTCTGTTCGTTCGTCTGTCCATCCTTCCGCGCGTCCGATCGTACGTCTGATTGCGCGTGTGTCCGACCCTCTGCCCGTCCCTCAGTCGTTCCATTTGTCTGTGCTAACCTATGTTTGTCCGATCATCCGCTCGGTCGTCCGTCCGTCCGTTCATCCGTCCGTGCGTCTGATCGTGTGTGTGATCTTCCCTCTCTTTGTCCTTCCCTCTGGCTGTCCGGTCGTCCGTCCGTCCTTCACTTCACTGTTGAGTCATTCCGTCCGTTCGTCCAACCGCCTGTTCGTTCGTCTGTCCATCCTTCCGAGTGTCCGATCATACGTCTGATCGTACTTCTGATCGTGCGTGTGTCCGACCCTCCATCCGTCCCTCAGTCGGTCCCTCAGTCGGTCCATCTGTCTGTGCTCCCCTCTGTCTGTCCGATCATCCGTTCGTTCGGTCGTCCGTCTGTTCGTTAGTCTGTTAATCTGTCTGGTCTTTCACCAGTTAGCCCGTCCGCCTTTTTGCCTGCCTGTCTGTCCGCCCTTCTATTCATTCGCTCGTTCCTCCCTTATTATCAATCGGAATGCACCGATTGAAAAATTATTTGAAAATATTGAAAACTGACCAATTCATAGTCCTGAAAGTAGGGCATCAATGGCAAGTGCGTTTCTTTGGCTATTTTAAACAATATCAAGCACAGCCTGCGACGTTCTTCCGGCTGAACTATAACATTCAAGTGCCAGGGATCATTCCACTCCAGGCCAGTAGCCAGTTCCTTATCGGCAGTCTTGTTCAGAACTATAAAACTAAAGTGTTAGCCAGGCTAAGCGTGGGACGAGTGTGCACTCACCTTCTGAGCAGACCGTCTTGCAGAACTGGCGATAGGCGACGCGTCCATCGCGTATTTGAAAGTAATCGGTGACATCTTTCAGCTCAAACTCTGATAAGCCGACCACCTTGCGGTACTTGCCCAGCACCGATGTGAATATAGACTCTGTCGGAGTCATAAAATGGGCATAAAAACGCGGCAGCTGTATTGAAATGTGGCCAAAGGCTGGCGCTTACCCGACACATAGCCCGTGCAGTCGGGATCGTGTTGCTTTAAGTCCGCACAGATGTCGAAGTTATAACGGAAAATGGCGCCTTGAATTTTACGACAAGCGCGCCAGATTTGGTTCAGCTCTATATCCTCCTGCACAGGTGTCGATAGCCGGGGCCATGAGGGCATATTTAATGTTAAGACCATGCGGCGCAAGCCGTGACTTACCCGTTCATCGCCGTCCTTAATCTTGGTTGTGTGCATGCTGATGGGCAATTTATTAACTCCTTTTTTATTTTGTTTTATTTTATTTGAAATAGTAACTTAATACAAATTGTAAATAATAAAAACATCTGCCTGGCACAGTAAAATCAAAGCTCTCCCTTAAATCGTTTAGATTACACAATTGACATTGTGTGCTGTTGTGGCCTTGTGTGTTGTTTGTTATGCTACACTGAAACAAACACGCACACTCACACACACACACACACACATGGCACAGAAGCAGGAGAACGCTGCACCGTACTAATCACTTCCTCCTCATCGTCCTGGCTAGATGTGCAGAACAGCGTCATGCAATCACGCGCTCATTCAACGAACGGTTTGTCGTTATGCCACCAGCACTTTTATTCAATTTTCTATAAACGACGCAGCAGAACATGAAAAATGAAAATGAAAAAAAAAAACAGAGTAAAAGTTGCGATTGGAAAGCAAAAAAAAAAAAAACATATCCTGGCATCATCAAAACAGCTGCGCCAGTCACCTGCATAGTTCACTGCGGATAAGTAATGTTTATTTAGGATATGCCCCTACTTACTACTCTACTCGTCTCTACTTTACTTTCTGTTTTTTCTATTTTTTGGTTAGACTATTGTTTATTGAGCGTGGCGTCGAGTGGATTGAAGTGGCACCAGCGATTTGCAACAGTTGCTGCTGCTCCTGCTGCTGCTGCTGTTGGCCAGGACATCAAATACCTGCCCACATGCTTGGCGGCCACTTAAATATATGTATATATCTATAGATATAGTATATCCTTGATAATCTGCCCTGATGCGTGCCAAATTGCACTTCAAAATCGTAGCGTCCGACCGCTTAGTGAGGTCATAAAAATGAATTGCAATCATTATCGTTGACTTAGATGAGCTTTTCCATCCGGCTTGGTCGTGCTCACCTTTCTACAAAGTTTTATTGCACATTTTTGATTTACTCAGCGTGTTATTTGCTTTGGATCTGAGCGGGGAATTACCATTGGGCTTTGACGCTGCATCGCCTGGATATATGTATATGTGTATGTGTGTGCATATGTATATGTGTGTAGCTAATTTAAAATTATACTAGTTTTGAGCTCCTCAATTGCATGAAGCATAAACAGTTGGCTGTTGGCTCACCTGCGCTTATCGTGCACAAACATATGGCGTTTTGTCAGTCCGACTTTGCAGCATGCTTACTTTTTTTTTGTATTTTAATTTTATTTTCCTAGACACACACACACACACACACACACACACACACACACAGCTACAGATACAGGCTTGTAGGTAGACAAAATGCTGGCATATATTCATGAACCTGCTGTACATCTGCATAATAGATGGCAGCAGGCGGCGGCAGGTGACGGCACTTGGCGTACATTGCCTTTTATTTTAGTGTTGGCTGGCTGTCTGCTAAGTTCGCTGTCTGCCACTAGCTGCTTTTGGGTGGCAAGTTTCACACGCACACACACGCACACATACACTATGGGTAAAAAGGCAAACAATGGCTGGCAACCTAGTTATCGCCCGCCATCTTTATTGCATGCAAATGTGCGAAAGGCGGCGGCGGCGGCGGCGGCGGCGGCGGCGGCGGCGGCGGAACAGGAGGCGTGTCTGTTGAAATGGCTGACGTATATGCCATACGTATACGTAATGCACCTTTGCTATGCCTTATAAAACCAACCGCATGCATATTTATCTTTAGTCAGAAGCAGCCAAAGCCAAAGGCTCGGGCACCAAAAACTATGTGTGGAGCTGCATGCATGCATGCAAGCCATGCGTGTGCATGTGTGTGCAGGTGTGTGTGTGTGTAAGAAATACGATATCTTAAGTGTTAAACAGGCGCTTTGCCAAACAAACTCGCACTGGCACCAGCTACAAACGAGCCACTGCCACCTTATCTGCGTTGCCTTTGCCACGCCCACCTCGTTGCAGTTGCAGTTGTCCCCGTTCCCGACGTGGAATTTGAGAAATACATATTTGGCCACCCTACAAAAAATGAAAGAACAAGCAAGAAAGAAATATACAAATACAAAGAAAAAGAGAAGCCAAAACTACGCCGCAGAAAATAAATAAAAATGCTGCTCACTTCTGCTGCGGCGCGTTTTATGCGCACTTGAACACACACACACACACACACATACGCACACCTGTACACATGCACGCACACATACAAAGGCGCAAACAGGTGCTGGGGTGTTTACCTGGCTTCTCCTTTCATGCTTTAGCTTTCTTTGGCCAGGAACTTGCTGCATTTTTGTAGTGCATAGATTCCGGCGCTGCTTATAATTCAACGCCAAAGTTCTGAATGTTTGCTCAAGTATTTATTTATGTACCCTATTCCTCTCTCACTCTTTCCATTTCTCTTTATGTATATAGTATTTCCATAGGCAGAAATTTTGGGGTATATTATTTGTATGCTGTGCTCGGGCGACTTGGGTAAGCAGCCTTTGGTAGCTACTCGAATGGCCATGGGGAATTGTTGACAAAATAAACAATTAATTCGAATAATATAATATAAATATATATATATATATAAATATATAATATAAATAAATTTTATATAATATCTTATATAATATCTCATTATGTGTACTTTATAAAAGAAACCAATTTCAAAAGAAATTTCTTAGAAAATTATTGACTAAAAGTCAAACATAAATAATTAATATAATTATTAAAATTTTTTAAATTTCTAAATGCCTTAAGGTCTTTTTCATATAACATAGTTAACATACAATAATAGCTAAAAATATTTATTTAAATATATTTATTTCTTATATAGTAGTTATTGACAGCGTGGGTGTTCCAAGTCGAGAGCCTAATTCAATTCAAGTTGTTCGCGGAAGGCGCAATTCTAAGCAAATGGTCGACTGATTTTTCTATAAATCTGGTTTTGTCTCAATTGTGCTACTAGAGAAACTTATAACAGTCAATTCTGAGTGTTTTTGCCAGAAGTTTTCGGAGAATTAAGGAAAACCAATCACCTGCACCAGGACAATGCGAGCTGTCATGCATCGACTAATACAAGAGAGCACTCAAAAGAGCGAATAATTTATTTAAATATATAAATATATAAATATGTAAATATGTAAATATGTAAATATATAAATATATAAATATATAAATATATAAATATATAAATATATAAATATATAAATATATAAATATATAAATATATAAATATATAAATATATAAATATATAAATATATAAATATATAAATAAATAAATATATAAATATAGAAATATAGAAATATAGAAATATAGAAATATAGAAATATATATATATTTATATTTATATATATATTAAGAGGTATCTCAAGGGGAGACTACCCCTTATGGCCTCGCCATTTCGCACTTGAAGTTGTTTTTGTTGAATTAGTTTTGGTGCGCGGGTTAAATGAGAATGCATTGCACCCATGGCTGGGGCTTTTTTGATTTGATGCGACGCCAAACATACATACGAATAACAGCGCAACCATTGCCACAAGCATGTTCATGTTGGCGGCACAACAACGAGAAGAACATCAAAAATAACAACGAGTAGTAAGCGAGGATGGTAAGCAGGGAGTGCTCGACTAGCCGATACTGTGACAAGGATTGAAATGTTAAGCTATAGGTGCACAGCGCATGATTGATAAGCATATATATATATATGTATATATATATATATATAAGCATATATGTAGATATATATATATACATATATATATATATATATATACATATATATATATATATTTTTTTACACACAGTCATGCATGCCTGCAGCGCGCATTGCATTCCTCTGCTGTGCATTTTTCTTTCTTCGCTCAGTTTCTTAATATGTGGCATGCATCCTTAAATACCTTTGTGGCTTATAAGAGCTTTCATAACCAGCTTGCTGCGACTTAAGCAGGCAGTGCCGTGCTGCTCTATTCTTATATCGAGAGCTTCATTGCATCATACCCGGCTCAGCCAGTCTGACTGGGCTTAGGGTATCCAAAACAGCTAACCTTAATCAGAGTGCGCTGTTCGTAGCTGGCATTTTCAATTTTTATAATGGCATGTCAGCTCCTGCTGCTGCTGCTGCTGCTGCTGTTGGCTTTTTATGGCCACATTCAGCATTGAAGCTTTGCGCATTAAATTGGAAAATATTTTTGAACATAAGACGGTTGCCCGGTTTGTCAATTGCATCAATTAATTAGCATTGGCAAATGTCTTGTCAGTTGTCACTTTTGTTCGAGCAATCGGTCCGTAGACGAGTCGAAGCAGAAAGCATAACTAATTAAAAGTTCTTTGTTGGAGTGGCAAACGTTTGTGGGCTGGGAACTTTCACTTCATATTGGAATTCATTGAAAATCACATTTTCCTCCTTTTAATTCCGTGCGCTGCGAATAAAGCATGCTCTATGAATGAATTATAGCTTCAATTAGGTATTTCAAATATATTTCTAATAATGCTCTGCAGTGCATTTGACTTCGTCATGTTGTAGTTTTTTTTCTTATTTTTTGCACCATGGTTCATCAAACATCCAGTCGTTGGGACATTTGAAAATTGATTTAAAAAACTTTTTTAATTAATTATGATGAGGTCTAAGTGCGCGATGTGGGTGTTAGCCGATGCCAGCGTCAAAGTCGCCAATCCGCTGCCAGCATCAGCATCAGTTCCAGTCCCAGTCCCGGCTCCAGTCAGCCCCCGTGGCAGCCTCGTACCCTGCCCCGTTATAAATTTGCAATGCTGCTGGCGTTGATGCCGAGCTTCTTGCTTTGATGCTGCAAATGATGTTCAGAGTTGAGTTGAACAAATTTTTTTTTCTCATTCGTTGCTTTATCATTGGAATGTTTGAGTTTTCACATTTCAATTTCTGGTATTTTGGAGCTCTGTCATTTTTTTTCTTTTTATTTTTAAAACCAACAACTTTGAGCTGTCTGTGTGTGTGTATTTGTGTGTAGATGAGAGTGTTGTATTCGTGTGTCTCAAAGTTGAAATTAACAAAAATTTTGCAAAAGATGCTGCCGGGGTGTGTTCTTCGGTTCGGTTCGGTTCGGCTCTCGCTCGCTCTCCCTCCTCAAACAAGTTTTGTATTAATGAAATTGCAAATACTATGTAAAACTTTCGTACATGTTTCTTTATAAACTGTCAAACTAATAGACTGAGTTTTGGCATGTCGAGTCACTGCCTGTCCCTGGGTCGGTTCGGCTCGGTGTCAGCACTGACAGAAGCGACTGTCAGTCTAGCACACGCACACTTACAGACAGTTGTATTGCTGCATTGCTGGAGTCCTTGCAGTCGGTTGGCCTGTTAGTCTGTCATGTTATAACTGCATAGCTGGGACCTGCACTGCATTTTACAACGCTTTCCATACGGCTGCAGCGCAGAGCTAGCCTGCCATGTGCGCAAATATTGGAGCAACTTTCTGCAGCAAAGTTTGCAAATGTATTTCAATGCATAGAAATGAATCTAATTTGTAAAATTTCATACAACAGTTGAAAAGTTATAAACGCGCACTCTGCACACGGTTTTGCCTGTCGCACCATTGCCCGACTCAGTCACTTACTCTATATATATATTTTATATATTTATATATTATATATATTCGTATATATATATATATATGTATTACCCTTCCATAATATGCTAGCCACTTTCCCGATGGTTTGTGTGAAAATGTCGACAACTTGGCATGCAGATTGCAAAGTTTCAAAAAGCAGCATCAGCAACAGAAGCAGCCGCACCACCAGCAACACCAACAACAACTGTAACCAAAAAAAAAAAAAAAAAAAGAAAAGAAAGAAGAAAGCTGAGCAGATTTAAGTGGTGTTTTGTTATGCATAAATAAAATGCTTGGCAAGAAATAAGCAGCCAGCCAAACGGCTGGCAAATAGAGCAAAACTACGGCTACGAAAACATATTTTCAGTTTATTTAAAATAAATTTTACATTACTTAGCCTGAACTCAAGGCGGGTGGCTGGGGTTGCACATTGCAAAAAGTAATTTACGCTCAGCCGGGTTACGAAAAAACTTTAACCCAGCCGAGACACAGAGGCTTGATGCTAGGCACAGTCAACGACAAGCAGCCAAAGACAATTTTGTTGGCACTAATTGAATGTAAATACAATTTTGCTTTGCTGTCAAGTCTTGTGTCTAGTCGACGTTGAGAAAGGCAACAACAACAGCAGCAGCAGCAACTTCATGTTGACTATGTTGGCGCCAACGACGACTACGTTGGCAATAAAATGAAACGAGCTGATTGTGTGCTACAAACAAGTGCAGCTGTTGTTGCTGCTCCTACTGCTGCTGCTGCTGCTGGCTCTCTGTTGCCACAGTTGCAGCTGCAGCTGGCAGCCCTGGCTGTAGCCATCCTTGGCGCTCAAGTGTCGTTCTAACGTTTGGCACACAGATCAAGTGCAATGCAACGTGCAAAGTTCCCAAAAAGCGCAAAAATCAACAGTGTAAAATCTTTTATTTAGTGTCATCAAGTTGCTGTCGCTGCCGCTGCTGCTGCTGCTGCTGCTGCTGCTGGTGATGCTGCTCAATTTGTAAGCACCCGCATAGAGCGAACTTGTGCATAAAATCTCATTTGGTAAAAGCCTAAAATTTAATTAACAAATTGCATCACACAAGCATAAGCAAAGCACTCATAGCTGTTGGCCTGATGCGGCCAACAGCTTGGAAGCCAACTTGAAAGGCCCAATTCAGTTTTTAGCAATCAGTGGAACAATTGGATTACAGTTATTTTCCATCGAACCACAATGTTGATACAATTAAAAGGGGTTGCTTTAATTAATTTAATTTGTTTACGCTTTAAATTGCTTTCAAATTGCGTATACGCAGATATTTTTTAATTGCATTATTTGACTTTGCGGCAGTGTGAAATGCCTATGGACCTATGGACTGCTAGAGCAAGTAGGCATATCCGACTGCAGAATACCTCGCTCACAGTTGAAAAGCTGTTATAATTAGGGGAGGAACTCTCGTGAGTAACAGCTGAGTGACTTGGTTATTCCAGCTCTGAAGCTCTACAATATATGATTTCTCTAGTTCAACATGCCTCTAATAAACAATGAGTGGAGAGAATAAACAGCAAGCTAACTGTCATGTCATTTGATACTCTCAATATCTCTTAATCTGTGTATAATAGAGCCAATATTCCCACCCAACTTGCCAAGCGAGTATCGCCTATAGACAACAACAAACTATATACATCAAAAAATAATACTAACAGCTGTTGTTGCTATTGTTTAGCAGCAACAGCCACGTAACGTGGCCAAGGGCAAAGACCACATTTGATACCCCTTAAAAATGGGATTAAATGCTAAGCAAATAAGCCTGCCAGGCAACTGGCAATACCACTATATTTTACAATTCAATTTAGGTGATGTCACGTGCATAAAAAAATAAAAAAATTAGAGAGAATTATTAAGCAATAGGCAAATAAATTGAATTCTATGTCCTCAAGCACATTGCACGTGTTTGATTGAAATGCAATTTTACTATATTTTTTACAAATTATTTACAAAAAAATAAAAAGATATAATAAATGAAAAAGCGAAAATGCCTATAATAATAATAAATAATTAAACTAAAAGTTGTAAATGAAAGAGTTTACTGGATTGAAATTTGCTTAGCAATAATATAAAAAAATTAATTTTGATAAATTTCAACGGAAATGTAGAAACTATTTTAAATATATTAAAAAAAATATTAAAACAAAAAATAAGCATATATTTTTTTAAGTTAAATTTTTTGAGTAACAATAATTATAATTATAATTAATTTTGATCAACTTTAATGCAAATTTAAAAAAAAAAACTTTTTTTTAATTTAAAATATATTTGCTAAAAGTTATATAAAGAAATTAATATAAATATTAGAATATGCTGACCAAATAAGAGCAATAGAAAAGAAGTCATAAACAGTTGAAGGTATTTTATGATTTTTTTTAAACTACATTTTGAAACTATATTTATGCCACTTGTCTTGAAATAGCACATTTATAAAATAAGAACCTTTGTTGGTGTCTAAGACTTTATTGAAGTTCTTTGGCTTGTTGCCTTAAATTGAGAACTTAAAGTGGCTCCAGAGAAATAAGTTGAATCTTGTGATTTGTGAAATGCCTGATGTCCATTGATGAGTGCTCGATGTGAGTTGATAAAGCTGCCAAATTTCACAAGTTACCAAATTTTACTATTTTATGGGCGTGTGGAAATAACTTTTGTTAAAGCCACAAATGTCATTTCACTTCTATACAATCGAGCAGAGGTAAATAGATTCTTGAACTGTTCCGCAGCTAATATTATATCTAAAATATCATTACTCCTCTATAGTTAACCAACTTATGACGCTAGTTAATTATAATTATAAAATATATTTTCATTAAATTTGAATTTAAGCTTAAAACAAATTGGGCATTTATTAATAAATTTCTAAAATAAAAATAACTATTAAATATTTAGTTAAACTATACTACAAATATGACTCTTCTTTGTTATTTCTATACCAAAATGCTATTTAAATTGCATTTATAAAATAGCTTTTACAAGCTGATTAGCAATGCATTGCAGGGTATTCAGCCATTCAAAAGTGAACAAAAGTATTGTTGGCTGTATTTGCATTTAATTGAATTTAGGATATAATTAAAAATCCGATTGACTGCAATTGAGCTCAAATGCCATTTGCTTAGCTCTGTGAAAATAACAAAGCATTTGAACTAATTAAAAATTGTGTTGGCCAGGCAAAGCAGAATGTCAAAAAAGCAAATGAATATTTGCATGGCATATCAAAATTATAATTAATTCATAATTAATTATTATGGGCTATGCGCTAATTGAGCACTTTGTTTGTTTCTTAACGGTAATTAACAGCGCAGGTAAACGTCATGGCAGTTACATAAACTGTGCAAAATAAAGAGACCAATTGAATTGTGTTATTAACATAATTGCTTAACGGCTAGAGTTGATTTCCATAGCTGCTGCTGCGACATGCTTGCAATTTGCACTCTCATCCGTTTGGTTCATTTATGCGTAGCACTTGTAGAGCTTGTAAATGTTCGTATTACCATTTCCCCCATTAGCATGCATATGCGACGTAATTTGCGCATGCAGCGCCGAGTGTTGTGGCATGCATGCGCCCTGGTTGCAGCTGCATGGCTGCTCAATTGTATTTTAGTCAAGCGACAAGCGTGTCCTTTATGCTTGATGCTTGACGGCCAATGCCAAATGCAAGCCCTGTTAGCCAGTTTTGTGCAATCAAATCAGCATTGCCATCGAATCATAACGAAATTTGAGTTAATTTTCTCTGCCCAGGCGAACCCAACTGCCGCTCACTCTCTCTGTCTCTCTCTCTCACAGTTCATTGGTATTGCGGTTTTGCATTTTAACTAACGCTGAAATTTAAATGCATTTTTGTCGGGTGGGTGGTGTGTGGGCGCAAACAATGCGGCCAGGCGGCCAAAGCAAGGCTTGATTGCGTTTCCGTTTTATGCAATTTTGTGGTATGAAATGCAATAATTTGTCGCGGCCTATGCGTCGCTGGCTCTGGCAGCCACAATGGGTGTGCCCAGCCGTGTGTGGGTGTGAGCCTGGTCACAGAGTGCCAACGGGTGTTTGAGCGAAATGCGGCAGTTGACGCGTTTGCATCACTTGTGTGTTAATATTTTGCCGATTGGCGCTGCAATATTTTGTCATTTGCAAACCATTATGAATTTATTTATTATTTTCCTGTCTGTTCTATGAAATATTTTCGCGTTGATTGCGTTTGTTTATGTCTCTGTGTGTGTGCGTGTGTGTGAGCATGTGTTTGCGACGAAATAACGCGGCGTATGCGTGATTTTCAATTCGGTTTTCGGGCGAACGTGTGTTTTTAGCATTTTGCGTTGCTGCACGCAAATTAAAGTGCAGGCAAGCGAAAATTCAATCTCTTATTTGGTGATTGTGTTTTTTTTTGTTGTATTTTTTTCGAAATGCCCTCGATATTGGGCCGAGCTCAAAAGACCCTTTTTATTTGTGTGCTCGGTCTGTGTTTTGAATTAAGGAAAGCGCACGTTTTATTGTTTGTTTCAATTGGCTGGCTGACGAGCAGGACGAACGTCGTATGAACGTAATCAGCAAATGTGCCAAGGCTGTTGGCCCCGAAAGCAAAATTAGTTCAATTTGTAGAAAATCAAGCTAACGTCTGTGCGTCCGCATGTGTCAGACGGAAAGTGGCAGACAAACCAAAAAGTACAAAAAGTACGAAAAAGTACGAAAAGTACAACAAAAATTAGCAGCTGAAGAGCAAAAGAAGCGACTAATTCTATTTAGCATTTTGCAGAGCGAACGACAACGACTCTGACGATGGCTAACTGGAATTATTTTCCTTTTTTTGCCGTGCAGCGTCCGGGCAAATGAACTCCGGCTAATTACTCAATGCAAATTAAAATTCATGTCAAGCAGATTGGATTATCCTCACGCAACATTAAATGTCGCGTTTAGCCAAGCTGGCAGCAGCAGGAAAGCTGTTCTAAATTTTGCCAGCTTGGCGCCAAATGGACAACTGGAATCAGGAGCGTAAAGGATAAGGGCGGCGCCCAAATGGTAGGTAACAAAGACAGCGAGAAGGCAGAGAGAAATCTCTTTTGAAATGCTAATGTAAAAATTCTTTAAAGAAAATTACGCAATACATTATTTTGGTTTATTTTGCATTAAAAGTCAATTTAGTGTTAAGGCCCAACAACAACAGCAGGAGTAAAGAAAGGGAGGAAAAGAGAGTAACAAAAAACATGCGAACAGCACAAAAAAAGGGCCCCAACAACAACAGCAACAACAGCGAAACAAAAAGGAGCTGTAGAGCGTAAAGAGCGCAACAGGATTGGACATGGCTATGTGGACAGGGGCGACGGAAACGTGCAAGGCTTTCCGGGCGTGAACCTGGACGCGAACCGGCCGGGCCATGACAACGCAACTAACTACAGTTTGCCTCCGACGACGTAAATAACAAACGACCGAAAGTTAGCATTTTTATTTTGCATTTTAAGTTGATTTGCCGCCTGCGTGCTGAGCGCAGTGTCAACGGCACTCAGTCCGCAGGATTCCCAAAAACAGAGCAGGCTCTCAACACAAAAAAAGCTGGAAAAAACTAAGCACACACACACCCACACGTTCACATACTCCACACAGATGTGGGTGTGAGCCCTGGGCTACGGTGGGCAAAATATGTCATCTACTACTTAGCTAAGTGGAGCTAGAGTCGACGGCAGATCTTGACATTTGATTAATTCTGAATGAAGTGGCTGGCAGCGTGAATTCAACTGAAAATCAGCTAAAGGTAAAGTTTTTATATAAATATTATATAACTGCTATTGAAACTATCTAACCCAAATTTAGATTTTGTTTAACTTAAGGAATCAAAAATATAAAAATTTTACAAAAAGTATATAGAACTATCAAATATATAATATTTGTTCGTTTAAAAATATAAAGTTTTTCTAGGAAGAATAAAATATATATAAATATATGTAAAATATATGTTAAGAACATTTCGGGATTTTTTTTGTTATGTTAGTTAATAATTCAAAACAATAATTTTATTTATAGTTTAAAATTATTTACTGATGCCTTTCAAATAAATGACCATCAAATATTATATTTTTAAAATTTTTGAAATTATTTTTTGAGATCCTGTTCAGCTGCTTCTTCGATGACGTTGATGTCTCTCAATCGTATCGCAGCGTTGTCCTTTCGTTAAGATGAAAAAGTGCTGGGAAATTGTGAGATTTTCATCCAATATTTTAATACAAGATAAAGAGCTAACTAAGTAATGTAAAATATCGAAAATAAAATAAAATATGTAACGCACAAATAAACCTCAAATGTGGCAACGATCGAGTATAGCACTGAAGCCCCACATGCCATGGAAAGCCATGTGAATAGAATTTGTTTATTTTTAGGAAAGTAAAAATTTATTTATAAGAATAGATAAGAAATTTAAATAAAAGTGTTGCTCATAAAAATTACGATCCGTTCAGCTAGAAATGTTGCAGCTCAATCATCTGGTTCTTCGAGCCGCTTTGAGTAAGATACTTAGAGATCTGTGTAGCATAGATCGCTATAGCTCACAATTTGTTGTATCTTATGGTAAAGTTAATCAAATGAAATGAAATTAATTATATACAGTTTTGTGTAAGTTCAATTTCAAATCAAGTTTTTAGCTGTGCAAATATTTTTAAGGACATTAAATCACAGTCAGGGTCAACTCTGAGAGTTCGACTCTTTGCGGCCTCAGTTTGTTTTCTTTATGTAATTTTTTGTTTTAATAATTTAGTAAATTAAATGCGCATTTAAGTTCAATATGGTTATATTAAAATTTCGGCTTGGTTTGTGTTCGCTCAAGCATTTTTGGGGACAAATGGGATAATGAGCTTTCGGCACTTCGTTTCACAATGTGCAGCAAAGACATTTCTATGGCTACTAGAGGTTTTTTTCGGTGCTTTTTTTCCTTATAGAATATATAAATTTTTTGTTCGTTTTTTTGCAGATTTTCCACCATTGTGCATTGGTGTCCTTTTTTCGTCTTATACTTTGCGTGGGGGCTGCTGCGGCACGCTGCTCTTTATCTATTAAAACGCCTTCCAATTTGCATATTTCTGCAGCTGTAACAGCTGTCAACGCTGGACAGTGATGATGGCGACGCCGACTGAGCAGCCGGCGCAGGACTTATTGTAACAGCAAACGAGGAGCAGCTCTTAAGATAATGTACTCCGCCTCCTGCGCGTGAAGAGTGTGCGAGCAGCTAGCGCAAATTAAAGCTCTCGTATCGACAGAGCGCAATCTAAAAGAAAAAAAATCATAAATATATATATGTATATATAAAAATAGTAGCAATTGTGTAGTGCTTGTGCTCGGCCAAAAAACATGCTTAAAGCTGGTTTTATTCAGGCAGAAAAGTTAACACAAATAGTTTAAAGTGAAGAAGAAATCTCAGCATAAATTCCATCATATTTTCTTAGGGGAAATTTATAAATCTGAGTTAGCATTTGCTATTTGTTAATGAGCTCAAGTGCTCAGATTCAGATTCAGATGCTGATGAATTACTGTAGCTAATAAATACTTAGAATTTCGTGTACTTTCTTATAGGCCTGGCCATAGCTATTAGTGCGCTACAATGCAAGGCATATTAGCTGCGCCAAGTACGGGCACTCGTTGTGTACATATGCCATTAAAAATGAATTGTGCAATTTGATGTAAGTTGCTCTTAATTTGAATGCTAAAAGTGTTTGCCTGCGCACATTCTGTGTGTTTACTGTAGGGCATTTGCTTGGGTCCCACTGGCGGAGCTGCCACTTGGCTATTTGATTTCGCTTTATTTCATTCTGTTTTATTGTGTTTTTTCTTCTTCTTCTGTTCCTTTTTCTTTCTGGCTTGTTACGCTGTCGCATTACCTACATCAAGTGTCACTTTAAAACGCATTTTTCTTTTCGCCCCCCTTCCGCCTGACCCAAGCTTTGAAGTGTTGCTCAAAGCTGTCGGCTGTTGTGCTTATCTAAGGTCTATTGTTCGGTATGCCCGGCGCGGCGCTTGTAAACAATTCCATGCACATTAAGTTCCAATTAAGTAACATTCAAGCCAAATCGTTGCCCGTTGCTGTGCTATGGGTAAATTGCGGTTTGTTTGGTTTTCGAATGGCAACAACACCAGCAGCTCCAGCAGCAGCAGCAGATTGCTTTGTTAATATTAATTTGTCATTAATTTGAACGACATCAGCTTACAAGCAGCTCGTTTAAAATGCATTGATAAGCCAAGTGGCCCGGCTGCTAGCTGTTTTCCTATACCAATCCACACAGCCATCAGATAAATTTAATGCGCTTTAAACTGTTTGGCTACGGCTTGAGGGCTGTCTTTGTGAGTGCTGTGCAGCAGCAGCGGCAGCGGCGGCAGCAACATCTTGGTCAAGTCCTTTCACAAAACTAAACACAACTGTTGCTTGCGCATTTGCACGCTGAAAGGGTGCGAGGTTTCGGTTGCGGCCTGACCGCGGCCATATACTCCACATCTTAACCTGTGTCTATCTGCCCATCAGTTAAGGGCCAATCTGCTTTAATACCCAGCACAGCCGTTTGAAAGGGTCGCTTGCCGCCGGCAAGACACTTTAAGGTGCCTCGAATTACGTGATATATGGCAGGCTATATGCAAGACTCAGAAAGACGTCTTTGTCAGTCGCATCTTGGGCCTTTCAAAGGATAAACTGTTGATGTGTTCTTAGCTTCTATTTTTGCAGCATCCATCAGTAAACATTGACAGGCTTAGCTCTCGAGTGTCGATGCTTTTTAGTTGAAGCTACTTTTGTGCAAAAATTTACATGTAAACTAACAGCAAACAGTCGAAACCCAACAGAGGCCACAGAACGTAAGAATACATAAAGCTTATATTACCTGGCAACACGGCAGCCATTCAGCAAGCCAACGCAATGCCAGCTTAGTTTTGGCCCGGCTTTCAACGGTCTGTGTATAGGCTTCCAACGTTTGCTGGCCAGCATAAAGCGCGCAAAAGGTAAATGCAGTCCACTTTCAATGAAGCCGCAGCAGCAGCTAAAAGCTGAAAGGGTACACACTCTGTTGCCTTTTGAACAAAAAAAAAAAAAAATAAATAAAAAATAAAAATAAAAACAGGTGTTATCTGATTGCTATTTTAAACACAGCTGGCGGCTGAGAGCAGCTAAACAAATACGTGCAACATAAAAAATTAAATCACATGCATAGACTATTCACTCCATGTTCAACTGGTTAAAAGAGGTATTCGAAAAAATAAAACTAGCAGAAGTGCTTTGGTCGGATATGTCCGACTTGGAGATACTCTGAACACTGCGACGAGCTGCTATAAGGAAAATTAAAGTCTTTATTATATGTAGCTTAGACGATAAGTAGGCTAGACGACGGCTAGATCGACTCAGCTTGTTCTCCTGATTAAGAAAATATGTTTCTAGGCTTCTTTCTGCCTGTTACATATATTTTTCATGGATCCAGGTAATTTGTAAGAAAGTTTTAGTCGGAGGTGCCCGACTTAAGTCACCTAAGCCTGTGCAGAGCGTATGTTCATATTTATGATCGATTATTATCGATAATAATTGGATTTCAAGTCTCTACCCTTTATGTGTTAGATCAATTCAGCTCGTCGTCCTGATCAAGAATATGTTTTTTATCTTATTTTTGGAGTTTGCCAAATCTTCTGCTGCACAATTTCCACAAAATCATTATACCTTGCTTTCCCTTTTTCAAGGAGTACAGGGTATACAAACTGCATAGAAAGTATTTGTAAGAGCAAGTAGCAACATACAGCACTTAAACAGTTGGTTAGATTATGAAGCCAACTAGATATAATATTGAAATAAGATTTCTACTTCTTTATAATTTCTGATTGAAAACATTTCATTAAAACTTTATTTGTAACTCTAGATGAAGAGCATTGGGGCCTTGTCAATGCCCAAGTCTTAACTACACTTTCTTTTGCAATTGGTCTGTCGCTTTGAGCAAGTTTGTTTGCTTTCAGCTGTGCCAGAGTTGGACTGAATGTGAGTTGGTGCAACGGTGCGTATGAGCAATGCAACTTGTTTAAAGTCACACTAATTAAATGGCACTATACAACTTGGACTTAGGACTTGGATAATGACGCTGCTGCACTGGTGTGTGTGTGTGTCGTGCTGTCCTGCTGACACAGTGCTCTGTCGCAGTATCGGTAATTAAAATCTAAAAAGGATACAGCTCTTCCTGTCTCGCGTACCTCACAGTCGCCCGCTGGCACTCACTGCTATTTGCTTAAGCTGTAGTTATCGCCAGCTGTGCACGGCACTGCGAGTGGGTGTGCCACAAGTGAGTGCACTTGTTAACGTTGGGGTAAGCAAATAATGAGGTGAGCCATACGAGCTTTTAATGAATGAAAGCGGTAATCGTTTTGAATTGCAGTCTATTTAAGCGCATCAAAGGGACAAGACTTGCAGCACAGAGAAAATGCCGGACGCTCACATAAGGCTATTAAGATAAATAAATCTGTACTCAATTTTACCACAGAAAACGTATACATATATTTCGCTTAAGAGTTTTATATGCCATAACTGCCGGAGTATGGATATCCAGTGCCATAGCCATAACCATAAGGACGGCCATAATATCCGCTGCCGTACATGCTGCCATAGGGACTGTAGGGATAGCGCATGCCGCCATATCCACCGTAGCCACCATAGCCACCATATCCACCATATCCACCATATCCTAGTCCACCATATCCACCATAGCCGCCATATCCTAGTCCACCAATACCGCCATAGCCGCCGTATCCTAAGCCGCCGATACCGCCAATGCCGCCAATGCCGCCTCCGTAGCCACCCAATCCAGCGCCAAAAGCTCCATAGCCGCTGCCATAGTATGACGGATAGCCTCCATAGCCAATTTGTCTTGCTACGCGTTGTCCGGCCGCCGGCAATGGCTGTGCCTCCGGCTGTGTCGCATCCTCTTGCTGCTTCGCGGACTGCCCAACTGTTACGTCCAATTGGCAGGCGACGATTAGCAGCGCATATAATCCAAATATGGCGTAGTTACGCATTATGCTGGTATTCCTTAAGCTGTTTACCTGGCGAACTGCTTCAATTCGTGCAGCGGTAGCTGTGCTGTCGCTGGTGGAGCCAACTGTGACCCGGCCAGCAAATGTTTTCGACCATTTATAGCCTTAGAACTTTGCGCATAAAATAGAAACTTTTGTTTCATGTTGCTTGATTTTTTCGTTGTTGCTTGTTAGCGAAATGAGACGCTAATGTAAACGTCATAAAACAAACTATTTAAATATGCGATTGCGGCACAAAATGGAACAAAAAGCCAATTCATATAGCTACCAGTTGCCAGTCGCCAGTCGCTAGTCGCCAGTTGCCAGTTGGCGGTTGCCAGTTGGCAACACCATTAAGTCGCACGCTAAGTGGCGTTCATGAAATCGAATGGCTCAGTGGATGTTTAAAGAGCAAAACATTTCACTTTGCGGTAGGTGAGTTTAACTTCAACTTTTGTTGCCACCTGCTGGCCCAACGCTTAACCAGTGCTTGCGGTCAGGTAAGCTGTGCAAATGTGCTAATTTCATTTGAAGGTTAGTTATGCTATTGACCAGGGCCAAGACCTCTTAGCCCGGCACCCGGCCATACCGCACAATGCTCGCCGCACGCACACGTCATAAGCTTCAACTTTTGGTGCGTAAGTGTAAATTGCTGTTTGTTGTTGTTTGTTTGTTTGTTGTTGTTATTGTTGTTGTTGGTGTTGCTGTTGTTGTAGGTGTTGTTGCTGTTTGTTTGCCTATTTACCAGCGTGTTTGTTCGCATGTTTGTTTTTGTTTGGCTAGCTGTTTGTTTTATGCGCGGCCTGGCCATTAACAATGCTCGATGGGTCTATGCCTCTTTGCAGCTTTGCGGCCTGTAGCATGTGCCACGTTTTGTCGGTATTTTTATGAATTTTGATCTTTTTTATACAAAATTCTATAAAGCTTAAGCTAAATTCAGGGACAGAGACAAATAGCCATGGCAAAGATCCATATTTACTAATTTATGCAAAATGATCGCGTCACGGCTGAGCAGTTGTTGGTCGTTGTTTAATTTCCTTATTCAAATTTAAACGTTCTAAGCCAGTTCAGAAAGTGGGTCAATTAACGGCGTCAACAGCCAAAGCTGCAGCACAATGTGATGTGTCAAGCGGCAGTCCAGAAAACTACCCCACTCAAAATTTTGACTAGTCGTCCCGAGCGGCCATCATCCGACCCGGCTGCATAAATTAGCGTTTGGCCAAAACAATAAGCCAGTTCGGATTAAAAGTGCACTAATGCTATGAACTGGTTAAATGTGCGAGATAGAGATGGGAAGATAGAGAGAGAGAGAGAAAGAAAAAATAAAGAGAAAGACACAGAGGAAGACAAAAGGCAGAGGAGGGTTGGCAAAGGGAGGACGAACGAGAGACAAGTTAGAGAGAGAGAGAGAAAGATATATATATATATATATAGAGAGAGAGATAGAGGATTGGAAATGCGAGAGAGGAGGGGAGAGCCAACGAGAGACAAGACACAGAGAGATAAAGAGGGAGAGGGAGATAGTGAGAATCAGATTCAGATAGTTATAGTGACAGCTAGAAAGACAGAGATAGAGTGAGTGAGAATGAGATAGAAAACGAGGCAGACAGAGAAAATAAGGAGATGGAGAGAAAGGGAGAAAGAGAGAGAGAGAGAGTTTCTCGCTCTCTTTAGCAAGAAAGAGATAGATAAAGTTAGATTGAGAGAGAGAAAGAAGCGGATGTGTAAAAGACAAATAAGACTTAGGAAGAATAGAGAAAGAAGCATAGAGAAAGGGAGAGTGAAATAAATAAAGAGCGAGAAAATATAGAATGAGAGAGAGCAATAGAGAGAGACGGATGGAGATGCCGCGAGAGATAGAAACAGAAAGATTCAATGTTGCAGAGAAGGAGAGAGCATCGTGGGGGCGAAAAAGAGAGCTACAGCTAACGTTAGTGAAAAAGAAAAATAAAGTTAGAGTGCGAAAGAGAGGCAACACACAAAGGGATAAAAGGACATAGAGAGATCGATTTACTGACTGATAGATTTTACATTAGCTACGGAGAAATGGATCTCAATTTGACTCCAGTATATGGATGTCTCAGACAATGTTAAATTTTGTTACTTGAAAATAATTTGGTCCTTATTTTCTGTGCCTTTAATAACCAGATCAATAAGATAGAAAATCAGTTATAAATCAATATAAAGAGACACGTTTTTGTGTCTAAAAATATGAAGGAAAATGTCTTACATCATTTGCTCTAGCAAATATCCTTCAGTGCGCGGCTCACAGCTCGTAATGAATGGGTTTGTTGAACCTAGGTAAATCCTGGCTCTGGCTAGTCAAAGGTATTTAAAATGAAAGTTTAATTGATATTTCTGTATTAAGTTCGGGAAAGTAATTAGTTTTTGTAGAAGTTTTGCAGCTTAGACATTTGAATTTCTGTCCCGTAGCCACTTGACCAGCTGCCCAGAGTGTGTTGTGCGGGGCAACTTAACTGAACTTGTCTAGTTGCCTAATAAGTTTCCGTTATTATTATAGGGCAAGCGATTCTTGTTGTTGTTGTTGTTATTGTTGTTCACGCTTAGCCAGACAGTTAATATAAAATGCTCTACTCGGAGTATACATTTCATTTGGGAGTTACTGTAATGCTTATGGCCGGGTAAAAGTTGAGGCAGCCTGAGCCAAGCCACTTCTAGTTTTATGGCCTCAGCTATCGTTTAGCTTGACTGTTGGTGAATTCATATAAATTGGTTTGGCCATGACGCTCAGATCCTTTGAAGGCAGCCTCAAACTTTGCGGCAATTCGAATTTGGCACAGAAGCCGTGTTCGGATTGCCTGTAGTTGGCTAACAAAAATTACTAAATTAAATTTCGCTTCGACTTAAAGTTGATTCTCGGGTTAGCTTAATTTATTTAACTATTAAGCCAATTTATGGCTTAACTCAAACATATTTGCGATCAAAAGCCTTTTAAGTGCCTTGAAGTATATATGTGTATATAAAGTGCTGCTATTTATAACAAATAAATGAATTGCGCCTTATCTCAATGACCGGGCAAACGTTTTACTCTCAAATTGCCACCGTTTGACGTTTCTAGCAGCCGCCGAGTCGATAAAGATTAAATGCTTGCTGTTAAATTTCGCTTTTGACAAGCGGATTTTATTGTAAAAAAATTAACTCGGCTTTAAATTTACGCCTTTTGTTATCCCTTGACCTTAGCGTGGTCGCTACGCACACACACACACATAGTCACGCCCCCACCCGCAATTTATAAAAGTTTTGTTCAAAACTCTATGTGCGATGTGCCCGGGCATAAAGGAAAAATGTCTTTATATTGAAGCTACTGACGGCAGGCATTTCATTGCATACCCTTCCCCTTGCAAATGCCGATGCGATGCTACGGCAAACATTTTCTGAAAGTTTCGCAAAGAATAAATGTTTGATATACAGTTAAAAAGGATGTTTCGAAAAGAATTGTTTATATATTCTTGAGCGACATTAAAAGTTGATAGCAAACACGACTCTATATGTAAATAGCTGGCCAAGGGCGTTAGAGTATGAACGCGGCTTGACTTGCCTTGCCTTGCCTTGCCTGCCCTGCCACGCCATGTAGCATCTTATCAAGGGCGTGTCTCAATAAATCTAAACCACCTTGATGGGCTATATGTTGAGCCGTAGTCAGCGAAGCAAGCGGCCAGGCGGCTGGCAGCTGGCAAAAGCCATGGCTAACTGATTATCCCTGTTGTCCGAGAGAAGCTGTAGCAGCCGCAACAGCAGCAGCTGATTGATTTGTTATTGAAAATATTAGGCCTCTTTGGAAACTGGAATCGATTTCGGCAATGGCAAAGGCAATGGCACAGGATAGGGGGATAAGGCGAGATGTCTGTGGTGCGGAAACGTGCTGTTGGATACGCTTGAAACTTTTATAACTTTATGAGGGCGTTGTAATTTGATATCGCAAAGTTTTTTATTGCCTTTTATAGGCTTATAATTTGGCCGCGATGCTGTTTCTGTTTGCCATTGTTGTGGCAGACGTGGCTGCTTGCCATTTGCCCACAGGGCGTATGCTTGTTATGGCAGCTTTTTGTTTACACGTTATTTATGGCTTATAAATACGAGTACGTCTGTTTGTAAGCATGTATCATTTGTGTTTGAGCGAGGTGTGGCAGTGGAGGCATTGGCTTTCCAAATTGTAAACAACTTACATGTGAAGTGTGCACACGAAATCTCTAATGAGCATTAGAATTGGCATAATGCTGACGATGAAATTGCGTATACGTATAATTGGATTAGTGGTCTATGTACTTAGCTTGGTACATTGTTGTACTTCGACGACTTAATTAGCAATGACTGAGCTCCAGAACAGGTCAGCTGCGTCATGCGGCCAGCTTGCTGTTTATTCTGCCCAGAGAACAAGAAAACAGTTAAAGTAACAGTTGGAATCAGCGCTGGCGGCACTTTAAGGGGATTTTTCTTGGCCATTTGATAATGCTCAGGAAATTTAATTGCTCGAAAGGGTCAGCGGCTCGTTAAGAATTAACAGCCATGCCAAGTAGCAGTAGCAGCAGCAGTAACAGCATCAGTTCCCTATATATATATATATAACGAGTCGAGTCGAGTGCTTGCAGAGTTGGTTCCCCATAGCGAGGGTGCAATGCGTGTTATTCATTTATATCTAATAGTGCTGAGTGCTCTGCTGCCCCTGCTGGTAGCGGGCGCTGTTCCAGCAGCGGAAATGAAGCAACTGTTGTTGGCGGATGTAAATCAGGCAACGGATCAGCAGGAGATGCCGGCTTTGCGCTTGGCCAGGCAGTTAGGCAACATCGCCCGTTTCGGCGGAGGCGGATTTGGTGGAGGCGGACGACGATTTAGAGGCGGCAGATTACCTTTCGGAGGCGGCAGGCGTCGTTTTGTTGGCGTTCAGCGGCGAATTGGCAATCCTGGCTTCTACCCGCAACCATTTGGCTTCTTTGGCTGATTTATAAGAATTTAATGTAAATATGCGATAAAGTATTTAGCGTTAAATAAATCCAACTTTCAGTTAAGCAAACAAAAAACTCTTTAATTAGTTTAAATGCTAGACTAACTAGGATACCGCATAAGCATATGCACGCCTTTGCTTGCGTATCTCACATTATTTATTCGTTGGCTCAACTTTGTTCGGGAAGCTGCAGCGAATGCGTATGCAAGGCAGTCGAGGCAGAAGCTAAAGTCCCATTAGAGGAGGCAAATTGTAGGGCGAAGTCGTCAGAGAATTGAGGGTTTTATTGGCTACGATTAGCATATTCTCGATTGTCATAGACCTGGTCGTTAGGCAGGCTTTCTCAAACAGATGGCAGATAGCAGATAGCAAGTGTGGGATGTTTAAATAAAGGCCAACAGAAATAATAAAATAAATAGAAAAATGTATAAAAGCAGCTGGTGCAAGAGCGGGTTAATGCTTCGTCTAGCTGCGGGCTTGGCCTGCTAAATTTTTATTTCAAATCACGTTGAGTGACACAGGACAAGAAACTTAATCAGCAATGTTAACGATGTTAGATGGCATCGCCGGATGGCGGCCAGTGGCATAAAACGGGTTTGTTCCGGGTCGCGTATTGCCGTATTTTTTCTAATTCATATGCGTTTCAAGTTTTAATTACGTGGTGGAGGAACAACAACAGCACAAAGCAGACGAAGAAAACGGAGCAAAAATAAACGAGCATGCGAATGGCTGGACGTCTTCCGACTTGGCTTGACTGACAGCAAAGGCAGGCGACGTTGCACCAACATGAAAATAACAAAATACGCCCAATCAGCGCAGCAAGAACGGAAGCAACGCGATACACACACACACACGCACAGATACAGATACAGAGGCAGTAACAGAAACAGATACAGATAGAGAAGCAGAAGCAGCAGCAGCAGCAGCAGCGTAGAGCCGGCAAAAAAGGGCGAAAAAATTAAGTAGCGAAATCAGCGGGCGAAACAAAAAAGAAAAATAAAACCAAGTAAGTAAGAGCTTAAGGGTTCTGCTTGACTCTTAAATACCCTGTAACCGGATGACGTCTCGATTGCGAACAGACTCGCAAATATAAGCGCTAAGCCGCATCGAAACAATGAATCAGTTTTTTTCCTATACAGGGTATATGAAGAGGCGAAGGAGCTGAGCACGAACAGCAATGTACAGCACAGCGTAGAGCAAAGAAGAACACAAGTCTAACAGGATAAAGGCGTTGCATGCCAAGGATTATCTGTGGCAAAGAGAAAGAGAAGCTGGCAGCAGGAGTGAAAGAAAAATGGTAGCACGCAAAACTGTGAACTCACTTGACGTGGCTCATTCTGGTTGAGTTGCCGGCCTCTGCCTGCCAGGCTGGAGTGGGTCAGCAGCAGCAGCAGCAGCAGCAGCAGCATCGAATATCAAGCGGCATGACGTTGCTGTTTTGGCGTTGACGGGTTCGTCTGTGGCAACGTTTCTTAGCTGCGTGTGCCGACCAAATCAGCGTGTGCCAGCAACAGCAACAGGATGAGTTACAGAAAGCACAAGCATAAATATGCACAAGCCAATGGCAGCAGCAGCTGGCCAAATCGCAGCTGCGATCGGACCTGAATAAACCAATCTCCAAGTTTTGACTGCGTGCGTGCTGGCCAGGCTAAGGCATGTGGGGCTGGAGGAGGGCCTATAACAATTTTGGTTCAGTAATTAACAATTACATGGATGGGAACCAATGGCAGCTTGACTTGCTTGGCCACTGCCGGATGCCTGAATTGCTAACGTAGAGCTTGATTGACCGTCAGCTGTTATCAAATTGAATGCCTGTCAGTCTATCCAAGTGTGTGTGTGTGTGCCTGTGCCTGTGCGTGTGTGTCTGTCTGAGACTGTGGCAGTAATCCTGAAGCTTGCCTAACAGACTCGTCAATTTATTTCCATGTTCATGCCCGAATAAATACAGAAATTAAGTTTTGCTCTTTCATATTTTTGCAAGTACGCCAAAAGGTTATTTAGTTCATTTGGAATGCGTTTAGCCAATGGTCATTTGCCATGTAGAATTGATTTCAATTGCTACCAATGCCATTTGGGTAAATCAGCAAAATATCTGCAGCAATAATTTAACGACAGCTGAAGTTAGCTCGAGTTGAAAGCAAATTGTTTATGACGAAACTTTTTCTTTTTGAAAATTAAATAAATATTTTTGTTACACTTTTGTTGTATCGGCGAGCATTCTTTTTCTTTAATTGTGTTGCGGCTAACGCAGAAAGAGCCCGAAAAGACAAAACGAATGTTTGCTATTTGAAAATCCAGAGAAAATCCCCTAATTAAACAGTTTGTCAGTAATGCAAATAAACTTTGTTAAACTTTTGCGTACCGCTAACGACAGGACCGGGCACAAAGGCGATTGCCACTCGCTACATTTTTCTTTTCTTCTTCTTTTTCTGTAGCCAAACACACAAAAATGTAATTATTAAAAAATTATGCTAAACACGCAATAAAAAGTTGGTAAGAAAAAATTAACGAAAAACTCCAAGAACAGCGGCAGGAGGCAAACAGAAATTAAAAAACGAACAAAAAGAAACCAGAAGAGCAAAAAATGTATTTTTAAAAAGGCAAATGGTCAAGTTACAATTTTCTTCTTTTTTTGTTAAGAAGAAGAAAAGCAAAAAAAAAACAAAATGTGAAAAAAAATTAACAATTGTTAATTTGAAAATTGCACACAAATGCGTAATGTGAAAGTTTTTGCGTGCCGTTGCCAGAGAGTTTGGACTTCTCTCTCAGACTGCGCGGCTGGGCCACTTGTTAAGTGTTAATGAAATAATTATGCCAACTTTTGTTGGGGCTGTGGCGGTGCACATGACTGCCCATTCGCACCACCATCAAATCGTCCCAGTATACATATATATATATATATATATATGTGTGTGTGTGCTGAGCGCCTTGTGGAGATGGGCGTGTAGCAAGCTCTTCACCCACTTCAGTTTTATTGTGCGCCTCCCCAGCGCACAATGAAGTGTGAGCTCATGACTTGCTTCTCGTTTTCTCTTCTTGTTTTTTTTTTTAATTCGATAAACTGCCCTCTAAAGGCGCCGGAGCCGACGACAATGAGCTCGACCTTGGTGGGGGCTGGAGGCTGCGCCTAAAAGCAGGCCATGCTTTTGTTCTCGCCAGCTCTGCTAACGTCTAAGCCGCTTAATTACAATACGTTGAGCCTGCGGGCGTCGACTGCTATTTACTTAAGACGCGAAAATGTGATTAACAAGTGTGAAAAGCCGTTTGGCCCCTTTGCAACAACTTTAACTTGAATACCACTTTTATTTTTATATCATTTAATTTTATTATATTGTGCCCTCAGCTCAGACTCTCACTTTTTGTTCGCTTTGGGCGGAAGTTTTCGTTTGCTTGAATAACTTTAATTGATTTAGTTGCTGTGTGTGTGTGTGGATTCGAGGATTCAATTACTTAAAAATCGCATGGCAAAGTGTCGGGGAGCTTGACTTAAAAATTAGCGCAAGTTTTGCCCTGCATCAAAGCTGCGACAATGCAGGACAAAGTTGCTGCCACAAAGTTTTTTGTGGCGTCGCCTGTGAACCACATGCATCATTATCAAGGCCCAATGACAGGTGTGCGCATGCCAATTTGAGCAGCTCTAATTGAATTTAGTAAACTATATGTATGTATGCGTGCCGTGCCGTGCCGTGCCTCGTTGTCTGCTGACTATTGTCTGCACTCAACTCTCGACTGTCGACTGTCGACTGCCGACTGCCGAGTGTTGGGCGTTTTTTTGGGGGCGTGCTGCTGCTGCCGAAAAACTTTCACGCTGTCATTGTAATACACACCTTATCAGAGCGTCAGCTGCCCACCTCCATTGGCGGTTCATTGTTTCGTTGCTGGCAGCCGAGCTGAGCTGAGCTCTGCTGTGCTGTGCCGAGTGTTGGCGCCGTAGCTGCAGGCTGCGTGTCGTGCAAATCCCAGGCAAGTTGTTTCCATCCCGCCCGCCGCTAGCGCCGCCAAACAATTAACGTTAATGGATCATGGTAACTTTTTCGCCTTTTTCCACTGTGGATTCCCAGCGGTGCGTGTAAACTGGCAAAAGTAGCGAAAGCAACAACCACGAGCCACACCGAACCAAAGCAGCTCAGGCTCCGTGGCATGTGAGAGGCGATGGTTTGTGTGTCTCTCGCAGAAAGCAGGATGTCTTTCGACACCGTCGCCAGTCTTTGCCAAGTTTTCTGCTGTCTTTTGCTGTTTTGCGTGCTCTCTCTCTACAAGTTTCTGCCACTTTTCACTTTTCTTTGCTTTTTCTTTTACTTTTCGATTTGTGGAGTGGGCGGGCGAGCAAGCGAGCGAGCAATGCGCTCAACTTTTAACACACTCAAGTGTCGTAATTTTGGCTGCTTTTTCGCACACAAAACAATATTAATGCTGGTAGTTTGCCGGGGGTGGTGCGGCTGGGGACTGGGCCATGGTGGGTTTGGTTTTTGCGTGCCTGGGGGTCAACCACCCAATAGAAGTTAAATGAAAAGTTTTGCTTGCGCTGCAAACACGTCGCTTCCTGTCGTCTGCCGCTTTTGCTATGCGTCGCTGATTTTGCTGACTGACTTTTAGGCTTCGAGTCAAGTTGCTGAACACACACACACGCACATATAGCCAAGGCATGACGCACTAGAGGCGTATGCGTGTATACACATGTAGGCAATTGGAGAATGTATGCCAACTATTGAGCATGTTTTCAAGAGGCATCGTTGGCCAACCAAAACTCCCAGCGCGCTCCCAAATTAAGCTGAATGGGGTAAAAGCGGAAGTTGCGTCGTCAGGCACGAAGGATCAGCACCACAGCACCACCAGCACCGCCAAAAGGTGGGCCGCCAGTTGGATGGAGGTAGCTAACGGCAGCAAGCAGCAGGCAGCAAAAAAACTTTTTGGGGCGCAGCTTAAAAGTTATTAGCGTTTTGGGGGCAGCTAAGCAGCGCTCTAGCTTGCTGCCACTACACACATCTCTCTCTCTC